ACCGCTTGCGTCACCTAATAGTTTAATAACCACAAAACATATCAATTAAGTTAGAAATAAATTAAAAAAACTCATAACTGTTTGAAATATGAAGTAAACAAAAAGTACAAACGCACGCATGCAAACTTTTCAATATCTAATCTTTTAGTAAAAAAGGAATTAGTTATAGATGGATAATACTATTACTTTGAGAAAAAAAAAAAAAAAGATTATGAACTTACTCTAATTTGTCCTGATCGGATTAAAGGAATGGCGCCGACATCAAGAACCGGAGTTTTTCCGGTGACGTTCTTGAGCTCAATTGGTCCGGTTTTAGGTCGTCGGAGGCCTAAATGGTCGGTATTACCCAAAGTAGAATTAGCAAGAAGTAGGAGAATATTGTCCACCAGCTTTAGAGGAAACCATTTCAGTAGTGTCATTGCTATTCCAAATGTCGATAGACCCAAAAAATCTCTTGGTAATACATGTACCTGCATTATTAATTATAACAATTAATTAGACCCGGTTAACAACATATAGAGTTTGATAATGACATAATTAATATTTATTAATATTTACTTACAGAGTTTCTAACTACCATATGAGGCAGAGCATTGTATCTACAAAGATCCAAGCTGACCTCCATACCGGAATTTCCACAACCAACCACCAAAACCTTCCGGTTTGCAAAAACCAAACCGGACTTGTACGCACTGGTATGAACAACCGGCCCAGTAAACTTCTTCAAACCGGGTATGTTCGGAAACACCGGTTCAGCGTTTTCTCCTGTGGCAACCACCAGCCACGTGGATGTGTATACACCGTCTTGCGTCTTCACATTCCATAGACCAGAGACGTCATCGAACTCGGCTTTCTCGACGGTTTGGTTAAATACCGGTTTGATATTAAACCGAGCAGCGTAAGACTCAACGTAGGAGATGAATTGTTGCTTGGAGGGATATTTAGGGAAGTTTTTAGGGAAAGGCATAAGAGGAAGCTCGCAAAAGTGTTTAGGGAGATGGAGTTTGAGACGGTCGTAGGTTCTTTTTTGCCATAAAGAAGCTAAACAATCGGTTCTCTCGAGGATAACCGATGGTACGCCTCGGTTTGACAAACAAGCCGCTACAGCTAAACCAGACGGACCAGCACCGACGATGATCGGACCAGGGACGAAGATTTGACTAGGTTCTGCTTCTCTACAAGTGCCCATGTCGATTAATAAGAGAGAAAGAGAAGAAGGAAGAAGAAAGTGTCTTTATCTTTCTCTGACGATCACACACACATGCACCTAAGAAGTGTCCTGTTTTAGGGTCTTGTTTTGATTGTTTCTCGGGAAAAAACAAGAAACCAAGTTGGAAATTATAAAGAGACCACGTAAGATGAGGTTTAAATGCTAGAGAGTGAGAGAGAGAAGGCGTGAGAGAAAAGGAAAGGATTTGTGTGTGTGTGTGTGTTTCTCAATAAGTAATGGGGAGAGAGAGAGAGAGAGAGAGTGTTGATGTGTATAGTGTAGGGAGTAGAGTAGGTCTAAGAAGGGAAAAATGGTGTAGATATTAAATTTAACCACTGGAAAAATCTTTGCCTTAGATTCTTTACTACTAGTCAAACTAATTTTCTTCTCTACGATTAATGACTACATTTTTCCTGATATATATGTCATCTAAGCAAATTATTTTTGCATTTCGTGGCTTGGCTCCACCAAAAACATTTTCTTTAAACACTAAAACGAACATCGGCTTAAGAGATTACAGTATATGATATTTGCGTTGACGTGTTTCATCATATTCGTACAATTTTTATAATTAATCTTCTACCGAAAGTTTGTTGAGGTCAAGAAAGTGGAAACAGAAGATTCTTAAGCAAGAAAGTAATTAAATTGCCTAATAATCAAATACTGTTTACTTTAACAAAGGTTTAGATGGCCTTCTGACCTTCTTTCCGTCATAAGTATTCATGGAAAGTATAATGAAGTACACTTTTTTTCACAACCAATTATATCTTAAGCAAGAAAGAAATGTGTATAACTGTAGTGTAAACTCACATTTCTGTCATTTTCAGATCATCAAATTCTTTGAATAAAACATCTAAAAGTCAATAGAAGAGTGAAAGCTAGCTATTACCAAAATTTATATAACTTGAAAACCAATAGACATTATAACATAGCATAGTTAATATAGATTGCACCAAACACTTACTTTTTTTTTTTTAAGTCCAAACACAATGACATAATTAATAAGTAGATATGTGGAAATGTAATTGAGTTGCGCATGACTGACCGCTCCTTCGTTAAATGTCAACTAATGCAGCCGACCTCCACTTCCCCTATAATCCTTCTCTGAGGTTGCAATATCAATATTTAACATATTTTATGCGAAGCCATCTTTTTTCAAAGCACCTAATTATGAATCATTTAATTCTAGATTGGATTTTATACTGGACGCAACAACATCACATATACTTGCAAATCTACGGCTAATTAAATACTAGATAATTTTAGCTATTTACTACTAGATTTGAACCAAAATAACGTTTATGACATTTAAAATGATATGCAGATAGAACCATAACCTAAGATTATGAGATATAATCCAAAGAATGTGATTGCTATTTATTAATCACATGTTGTAGATGAATTGTTTTTGCATATATGTAGTTTATACTTTATAGGTAAATAGGAAGAGAAAAATGGGACTTATATGTTATTTTAAATGAAAAGAAAGCATGTGAGTTATTTTATTCAGAAATGTATGCGCATGGTAGTGTTTTAAGCGGTAAATTAAATGATGTAGTGCATACTAAACCTCATCTCATTGATTAAGGTTTGACCTTATTATGGATACCATTTCACACAATTGATTAAGACGTAAACAATATCCCACGTAAATGTTTAACTATATTAACTTACTTTCGGGGTCTTATTTAATCGAAACGTAAACTATATTATTACATGGACCTGGATACATATAATTATTACATAGACCCAAATGTTTTGTCTACTCCAATCAAATTAAAACCTTATTATTGTCAAGAGATGATTGACTTTATTAACAAGATTTAATTAAAATGCCAATTCTTTCATGTTTCATTCTTATTATCTACGTTACCCCACTTATATATCTCTAATCATGACATGCATGGTCAATTTATTTTACAATCCTTTTAGTCAGAAAATAATTTCTAATTATACGTGAGAAAATCAATATATTGGAATATCATATTTGAAAGTAATATAATGATTCTGCATGTATCTCTAGTTCTAGACTTCTAGTAAAAACTAAATTTGTGTTAAACTAATACTAGCTAGTTTCAAATATATATATTTTGTTCATTAAGTAAACCAAAGATACTTCTTGAATCAAAAAAGTTAACAAATAATTTAATTATATATACGTGAGAAAATCAATATATTGAAAATCAATATATTGATTTCAATATATTGAAATATAATATTTGAAAGTAATATAATGATTCTGCATGTATCTCTAGTTCTAGTAAAAACTAAATATGTGCTAAACTAATACTTGCTAGTTTCAATTTCAAATATACATATTTTATTCATTAAGTAAACCAAAGATACTTCTTGAATCAAAAAAGTTAAATTTAGTTCAAAATTTCTTTAATATAGCACTACACAACCTTTTTAAAGAGCAGGTGTGCATAAACTTAAATACTTAGCTTGGACGAGAATCAAAATGTCACTTACACAAAGATAACTTCAAAATCAAACAATTCTATAGACTCATTATTTATGCATGCTTGGTATAATAGAATGGTCCATACATTTTCTTTTGTTAATTACAATGGTCCTAACTTTCAGTTAAATAGAGCCTAGACTCATGACTAAGCTGGAAGAAAAATACAAGTTATACAAGTGTATCAGCTACTAGTAATCTACTCTATATGCATGTTACATAGTGTATCAATGGTCCCTTTGGTTAGACGAGGAATATTGTGGTTCTTGGATGGATCAACATCAGCAATCTTGTTTACACTATCGATAATGGCAAAAATATGAATATTACAATGTAGACAAAAGAATTTAGGGTCCCATAAAAACGTCATCTTCCTCTGGCGTCTTCTTCCATTTCCTCCTTCTGCATTATCCGACTCAATGCTCTTTGGAATTTCTCTGTCAGGCTTGAATTTGCCCTCAACCTCAATTTGTCTCACCATAGTTACATGACCACACTTATAAACATTGTATATACCATATACGCATGAATTTGAGAAAATGAGATGTACGCTTAGGATTAAATTATTACCCTTGACATTTGTATTCAAGTAAGTCATGTACCGACATAAGTCGTTGATTCATTCAAATTAATTCATGGGATTTGATATGGTATTAAACCACTCTAACACTAAAAAGAGACGATGTATTGTTTTTCCTTTTTTCTCATGAAAATCTTCGACTGTTTCACTTTTCTATATTTTATCTTGCAAGCTAAGGGCTATGTTAAATGTGATTTGGAAAACATGATATTTTACATAATATCTTATCCAAACTGTGATGTTCTTTTTAATCGTAGTAGTGTATAATACAAAGAAAAAAAGAATAAGTTTAAAGGATGGTCCACCCACTCCACATTCTTAACTAATGCATTTTGTGAGACGCATCACATGATTCACATCAGTGTTTTTGTTTTTCTCCAGAATGGACAATAGAAAAAGGTGTCTAATATATTATATATGTATAATTGTCCCAAAATATAATAATAATGTCTAAAAATAGTATCCACCATGCAAGAATCAACAAAATAGCTATAGTGACATCTTATGCAAAATAGCTATACCAATAATGAAATTGAGACGTCTTTCGTGATGACCATTACGTAACCAAATAAATAAGTTAACTTGTAATCGAAGGACAAGAGCGTCTGTAGTCCAACGGTTAGGATAATTGCCTTCCAAGCAATAGACCCGGGTTCGACTCCCGGCAGACGCATTGATTTTTTCCCTTTTTGTTAACAGTTAAAAACAAATTTTCTCCTCAATTTTTTTTTCCATAATTTTTATAAAACTTGTATTCGAAGTATTCATTGTTTCTACTTTCTACATTGACGTTCCCAATGTTATGTTCATGGCTATGAAACACACAATCACTAACATACAACATCTTTTCACATCAAATATTAGACAAGGGGAGCACAAGAAAAAAATGGCATGGTTCTCTGCTCCAAACCGCCACCTCCAATTCCGTCATGATCCAGACCTTGCTTGATACGCCCCAAACGCCTCGCATACAAAACTTGCTCAGAAACAACAGGCAATCTTATTCTCTGATATTCCTCAAGACCCAAACTTAGATTATCAGGTCCACATTTCTCCAGGCATTTGCCTAGCACTTCCGCATCAAGTATCGACATGTTTGTGCTTCTTAGACCATGAGGGGTCGTGGGATGAGCCGCGTCTCCTGCCAGCACGATGTTCCCCCAGAAGATTCGTTCTAAAGGGTCACAGTCGTAAATAACATTAAGGAAAGGATCCTTTGTTTCTCTCATGAGTCTCGCTAGCTCCGGGATCCAGATGGTTTCTGCTTCTTGATGCATCTTATTGATCATTTCTTGGCTCACTTTTAGAGTAACAGAGTTGCTCTGATATCATAATTTCATAACAACAACAAAGTAAAAACCAAGAAAACTACACTTCAAAATGCATTCTAATAAAAAAGAGAGAGGACTTAGTCTTCTTACTTTCAGGTCAGGCTCTGGTTGATTGACATACCAAATCCAGTTGAGTTTCTTGTTAAAAAGCTCGTAAAACACGGTATGAGTCTGTTCACCGAGATCAAAATACAAGCACTTTCCAAGATCCGGATACACTTTCTTAATTCCAGTAACTGTTTCCGAGTTCTCATTCCCTGAGAAATCAAAAACACCTCTCCAAGCACAATAACCAGAGTACCTTTCACATAAAACAAAAACAAAATCTTATATGATCAAGTCCACAAAATATCAAACCAATAATGAAAATCATACACTCTTATTTCAAACCTCAGTTTAAAGTCAGGCAAGAAACTTTTCCGAATAGAAGACAAACACCCATCTGCTGCAACAAGTAAATCTCCTTGAATTTCAACGGTTTCTTGAGTTTCCATAACTAAAGTCTTAACCTTTACAATAGATTCATCTTGTGACATTGTGAAAGACAGAAACTTATGTCCCCAAAGAAACATGGTTTGAGGCAATGCTTTATACAAAAGAGAGTGAATATCTGACCAATAAGCTGCTCGGAAATCAAAATCCTCATCTCTTGTTAGAATCCTCGTCACCTTCTTCTCACTATCTGTTGTCTGATTCTATAAACAAACCCATAAAACAAAAAAAAATTAAAAACTTTAGCAGAGCTAGAAAATTACTAAAGTGTTTTTTTTTACCTGATCAACTGAGAGAGGCAAGGTGATTTCATCTAAGAGGTGTGGAGAAGGAAGCCAGGATTTGATGATTTGGCGAGCCTGAGGGTCGAGTCCGAGGCCAGCACCAGTAGGACTCCCAACCGGAGGTTCGGAAGATTTCTCGAGAACCAAAACATCCCAGCCTGCTAACGTGAGCGAGTGTGCGCACGATAAGCCTGCTATACTTCCTCCTACTATGATCGCTTTCCCTTTCTTCTTCTTCCCCATCTCATCAAATGTTTGTTTCTTCTGCTTCACAAATTAACCAAATGTTAACGATAAGTATTTTCAACTTAATGAAACCTCTGGGTGGATAAGAAGATTACAACTATGTGGGATGATTTCAGGCCCAATATATAGATTCAAGGCCCAATCATTTGATCATATAAATAAGAAACTGATCTCTGTTTATCCTATTTTGATGTTGATAACCCCGTTTGCAGCTTTCCTCTATACTCTGTTTCCTTCATCTTTGGCTCTGCTTTTGACTGAGAAGGAGAGAAATTAAGAAAACTCAAGTTTTTTCGGGATTGATCATATAGCAAGGCTGCTTATTATGATTCCAACGTGCGTGGGAAACTGAGAATCACGTCCCTGAAGGCATGGTTCTAACGACTTAAAACCTGTTCTGTTTCTCGACTCTGCTTTTCACGGCATCTTTTTCTTGTTCCATTGAAGATTTGTTCACTGCATTGTCCATATGGTCAGTTGTCGTCGATACTGTAACCACCGCATAGAGCTGGGCGTTTTAGGAAATTTCAAGCTTAAGAGAAGTCAGAGATTGAAAAACAAGTCGTGACTTGCTTTCGTTTACACAAAGCTTCAATGAAAACTTTATAATGTGAACTTAAGCTTATCTTTAACGCATTTTATGGAACGTTGCACAGTGAGCTAGTAGCTCATAGCTCTTAAACACATATCGTTTTCTTATATTTCTGGATTGTCGAAAGTTAAAGAAGAATATCAATTATGAATATTTGGGACTTTTAGCTCACTTCTTCCTGTAAGGCAAAAGAAACAAATATATTCCAAGCATATACAAGACTTAAAAACCTGAAAGTATATGTAACAAAAACAAAAACAAAAAGAGTCGGATGTGATTACGTTGTGAGTAACCGAGGAAAGGCGTAACATTCCATAGTTAAGGGTCGTTCATTAGCCCTACTAGTCAAGCACGGGAAGCTAACTTTCTATCAACAAAGCTAGCGGGGTTTCCGGGCCTTGTTTTGGTCCAATGTGAAAAGCTACATCCGAGGAATCGTATGATTCAGATACCTGACGAAATAAAGAGAGAAAAGATCGGGATAGCTGGGATGACCTATTTCAAGATCAGATGATCCACCAGCTTGTCTGCTTGTGAGGTTGAGGATTTGACTGTTATGATCTCTTGGCCCGTGCCTCCGTAGTGTAGTGTAAGTTCTTATGACCAAGATTCGAAACCTTGTCTTTCCGCTTCGGGCTATAGGTGTTCCCCCGGGGAAAATAACCAATGGATATCTCAAATATTAGCTCAACTTTTGTTTTGTTTTTTTACCTTCTATTTACTGTCATGTAGTCCCAATGTTCCCACAAGTAAATTTCAACCTGCTGTAGCTTCCTTCACATTCATCCGTATAGCTTGAAGATCCAACCTATTAGTGAACAAAGAGCACATATGACTACTTCTATGCTTGTAAACATGTTCTTATACCTGATCTTAAACCTACTGATTTTGCAAAAAAATTCATGTTGTTGCTTAGAAAACCATACCTGATCTTCATGTTCCTCACAAGAGTTTCCAGATCTGGTACCAAGCTCATCAAGACAAAATTCTCCACCCAGATAAACCCATTGATAGATTGATCTACCACTCTAGAGATTTATGGAAAGATTAATTAACTGTTGATGTTCGTTTGTAAACTTCAAGAACATCACTTGAGAATCATTAAAGTTCAATACCTCAAACCAAATCAAAGGTCACATCACACGGTAGTAGTATATCATATTACATAATAGCTGATGCATCTAACGTTCAGGAGAATATCTGTAGTGGGTGAAGCCTGAAGACATGCATACCTACACATAGAATGGGACTAAGACATTCAGATTACATACACATTCAAACTAAAGAATTGGAAAGTAGAGTTGTGAACAGTACGTTATTTTGTCACTAATCTTGTCATTTTCTTCTTCGGTCATTGCCCGAAATGATTTTCTTTCTATTAGAGTAGGCTTCTCGGAGGCATTTGCACCTCATTTAAGCGCACCTGCTTCAAGCCCGTCAAAGTTTAGCTAGATTTGTGAAATTAAAAGATTCTATTAGCGATGCTCTAAGAAATCAACCAGTAAGTAAGTTTCTTCACCATTGTCTTCAGAAATACTGGCCATCAGCAATCCCCATTCAGTGTTGACTCCAACACCAGTAACCTGCAATAAGAAAAGAGCATTCATATCACTTAAAGAAGAGACTAACAACTCTCTCCTCAGAGATCAGTTCTGCTATGGAGCAAGAAAATTTTGGGAATCCTACCAGCATAACTCAATTCCATCTGCCACTTTACAACTACACATAAGGAATGAGTCCTTGCTAGAATCACTGTTAAGAGTTACACCAAAAAGAAACGAGAAAATCAACAATTTCTCTGTGACAGGAAACAAGTGGCGAACTGTTCACTCGAGTCTATTACTCTAACGCGGAGCAACATCCGACAAAAACAGCCTCCCCTTCTTCGCCGAAGAAATCAATCTCTTTCACCCTGCAAATTTAAATAACACTCATTAAAACCAAGATTGTTGTAAACATGATTATATAAATTAGGATTAAACTTTCTTTAATATTCTACAATCCATTTGTATGGACGACAAGGAAAGAATTATGTCAGAGGTAGTTTAGGTTAAATAATCCATTAACCACCATTGCCACACTTCTAATTCATAAACTCAATCCGTTTCTGACCCATAAACTCATCTTGTGTATAAAACTGAGCTGAACCATTTGTATAGGTCACACGTGATTGGGCAACACCATCTTCCCATTGCTGATTCGTTTCTAATTCTTAAACTCAACAAGATGAGATTAAGACTGAGCCGAGGCATTTGTGTAGGCGACACGGGACAGTCTTAAACTCATTAAGATGAGATTAAGACTGAGCCGAGGAATTTGTGTAGGCGACACGGGACTGTTAAAGAGGTAATTTAGATTACCTCACTCATTCATGCACTACCATCAACCCGTTTCTGATTTATAAACTCATCTTATGATTAGTATAAGACTGAGCCAAGGCATTTGTGTAGGCGACACGGACATAATTCGTTTAGGTAACACCATCTACCCATAAACTCATCTTATGATGTGTTTAAGACTGAGCTGCAGGCATTGGTATAAGCAACGTGACTGGGCAAACACCATCTACCCATTTTTTATTCGTTTCTGATTCTTAAACTCATCAAGATGAGATTAAGACTGAGCCGAGGCATTTGTGTAGGCGACACGGGACATAATTCATTTAGGTAACACCATCTACCCATAAACTCATCTTATGATGAGTATAAGACTGAGCTGCAGCATTTGTATAGGCAACGTGACTGGGCAACACCATCTTCCCATTTCAGCATTTCTTATTCGTTTCTCATTCTTAAACTCATCAAGATGAGATTAAGACTGAGCCGAGGCATTTGTAAAGGCGACACGGGACTGTTAAAGAGGTAATTTAGATTACCTCAGTCATTCATGCACTACCATCAACCCGTTCTGATTTTAAAACTCATCTTATGATGTGTATAAGACTGAGCTGCAGAATTTGTGTAGGCAACGTGACTGGGCAACACCATCTTCCCATTTCTTATTCGTTTCTCATTCTTAAACTCATCAAGATGAGATTAAGACTTGAGCCGAGGCATTTGTAGAGGCGACACTGGACTGTTAAAGAGGTAATTTAGATTACCTCACTCATTCATGCACTACCATCAACCCGTTCTTATTTTTAAACTCATCTTATGATGTGTATAAGACTGAGCTGCAGCAATTGTATAGGCAACGTGACTGGGCAACACCATCTTCCCAATTCTTATTCGTTTCTCATTCTTAAACTCATCAAGATGAGATTAAGACTGAGCCGAGGCATTTGTGAAGGCGACACGGGACTGTTAAAGAGGTAATTTAGATTACCTCACTCATTCATGCACCACCATCAACCCGTTCTGATTTTTAAACTCATCTTATGATGTGTATAAGAGTGAGCTGCAGCATTTGTATAGGCAACGTGACTGCGCAACACCATCTTCCCATTTCTTATTCGTTTCTCATTCTTAAACTCATCAAGATGAGATTAAGACTGAGCCGAGGCATTTGTGAAGGCGACACGGGACTGTTAAAGAGGTAATTTAGATTACCTCTGTCATTCATGCACTACCATCAACCCGTTCTGATTTTAAAACTCATCTTATGATGTGTATAAGACTGAGCTGCAGAATTTGTGTAGGCAACGTGACTGGGCAACACCATCTTCCCATTTCTTATTCGTTTCTCATTCTTAAACTCATCAAGATGAGATTAAGACTTGAGCCGAGGCATTTGTAGAGGCGACACTGGACTGTTAAAGAGGTAATTTAGATTACCTCACTCATTCATGCACTACCATCAACCCGTTCTTATTTTTAAACTCATCTTATGATGTGTATAAGACTGAGCTGCAGCAATTGTATAGGCAACGTGACTGGGCAACACCATCTTCCCAATTCTTATTCGTTTCTCATTCTTAAACTCATCAAGATGAGATTAAGACTGAGCCGAGGCATTTGTGAAGGCGACACGGGACTGTTAAAGAGGTAATTTAGATTACCTCACTCATTCATGCACCACCATCAACCCGTTACTGATTCATAAACTCATCTTATAATTAGTATAAGACTGAGCCGAGGCATTTGTATAGGAAACACGGACATAATTCGTTTAGGCAACACCATCTACCCATAAACTCATCTTATGACGTGTATAAGACTGAGCTGCAGCATTTGTATAGCAACACGGGACTGTTAAAGAGGTAATTAAGATTACCTCACTCATTCATAGGCAACAAGGGACTGTTAAAGAGGTAATTAAGATTACCTCACTCATTCATAGGCAACACGGGACTGTTATAGGCAACAAGGGACTGTTAAAGAGGTAATTAAGATTACCTCACTCATTCATAGGCAACACGGGACTGTTATAGGCAACAAGGGACTGTTAAAGAGGTAATTAAGATTACCTCACTCATTCATAGGCAACACGGGACTGTTATAGGCAACAAGGGACTGTTAAAGAGGTAATTAAGATTACCTCACTCATTCATAGGCAACACGGGACTGTTATAGGCAACAAGGGACTATTAAAGAGGTAATTAAGATTACCTCATTCATTCATAGGCAATACGGACTGTTAAAGAGGTAATTAGATTACCTCATTCATGCGTTACTAAACACCCTTTTGATTATAAAAGGAAGACGCAGACAAAATAAACAAATCCCTTAAGTTTAAAACTTACAAAACAACCGCATGAAAAGAAAAACAAAAACAACCAGATGAGAAAACAAGAAACAATTCTGTGAAAGTGAAGAGAAAAGCAAACTTGTATGATTCAACTTATTGAACTCCAAGACAAAAACTAGAATCTGGGGGGACAAAAAAATCAAAAACTGAACAAGGAAACTTAGAAAAATCAAAAATTGAAGCCGTCAACATATTTAACTACAAACTAGAGTCTTCATCACAAAACGCCATAGTAACGTAAAATATAAGGACGAAACAGGAAACAATAGAGATGAAAACCCAACAAAACAATATTAGTAAACACGAAAAAAAGACAAGCTTTAGACAGAAATTCACTTAATTTTTTCGAAGTTAAGTGAATTGGATGTAATGAAATATGTACCTGTTCGAAGAACTTGAATGAGGATGAAACCCTTCATAGAAACAAATAAAACACAGTTATTCTTAAATTCTAGAAACCAAAAAAAAGAACAATCTTTACTTGAAACCTAGCGTTTCATCAAAAGAACAACCTCAGAGAGAAAGGGTTTCAATAAAGGGAATATGCATAAAATGACCATGGATCATAAAAGAATTAACAAACTAGCCATGGTGTCAGAGTACACTCTCTCTCTTCATTTGAAATTACTCTTATATCCAATTAGATATTTTATATATTACACGTTATTTTTCAAAATCACATAGAACACTCAGATGATTCCATGTCAAACAACTTTCGACGAGTCCGCATGAACACCTCGGAACAAACCACCACTCATCTCTCTTTCTTCCACCACCACAGCCACCACATTCTCCACCATAACCACCGGATCTCTCCAACATAAGCTCACCAACCTTTTTCATTCGTCTCAAATCCCATTTTTTCTCCATTTTCTTTCTCATTTGTTGGGAATCTTCTCTTTCCTCTCCACTGTTAACACAAGTTTTTTTTGTAAAATACTTTCTTTTTTCCCAAATAACATGCTATTCAGTTCAATATAACACGCTATTTTTATATGTTAAACGCTATTTAGTTCAATTTTTTCCATAAACATGCTTTTTCGTAAAACACATTGTATTTTTATAAATAACATGTTATTAAATTTAGTATAACATGTTAAATTTAAATGTTACATGCTATTTTTTAAAATCTCGCGATAATTATTTTCTTTTCGTTTTTGTCACCGAATCTTTCTCTCCTTCTACTGAACTCCAAAACAAAACAAGGGTGATTTTGCCAATTCACTCATTCTGACACATGGGTCTATAGTTATTTTCTAATTAAAAAAAGTTCCATGGCTACTTACTTAATTTCTCTCAAAAATTTGGCTAGTTTCTAATATTACCCTTCAATAAAACCAAAATAAGAAACTTTAAAGCAAAATTATAGTTTGAGAAAGTGTAAACAATGAATCGCAAATACAGAAATCAATCGTGAATTTCTAAAACCTTAGATTAACAAAGCTGTGAGAAATCAAACAGTGGTCCGCAGTAAAAGCAAGAATTTCTAACGTAGAAGGAATATGAAACCCTAATCAGAGAAAAATACTACCGCAGAATCGAAGATTGAAAAAAAATCAAGCCTGTGAGCATCGCTGATTTATTCTCGCCACAAACCCTAATTAGAGAAATTTGGTAAGCGTTGAGAAAGTAAAGCACAGTATATATAGACAGACACATATGATTGTTAAAACAAAAATAGGAGTCCAAAACTATGTAGTAGCAACACACGGAAAAAAAAAATGGAAATAATGGAAAGACAGCTGGCATTTAGACTTAAAAAAAAATAGAAAGTGGCTGTTGTGCGTCAAAACTACGTCGTAGCAACAATCGAGAAAATGGAAATAAGGGAAAGACAGCTGGCAGTTTGACTTTTTAAAAAATGGCAAGTGGCAGTTGACCAAAATACACATTTAAAACTACGACGTTTTACAGAACTAATGTATAACAATTGGAAATTGACCTCCGGAAGGATGTGCTTTATGGGCTTGATCCAGGCCAATAAAGATTTTAGGCCCAATAATTTGTTCTCTCCCACGACACGATTATCATTATTTATATATTTTTTTCTCTCGAGCTTTCCCCTTTGATTTTATTTTTTCTGTCCGCACGGCGTCGAATTCTAGATTGTTCGACGGCGATGGGAGCTGGGAGAGAAGTCAGCGTATCGCTAGATGGAGTCAGAGACAAAAACTTGATGCAACTTAAAAAACTCAACACGGTTCTGTTCCCGGTTCGTTACAACGACAAGTACTACGCCGATGCAATCGCTTCCGGCGAATTCACCAAGCTTGGTTCGTCTTTTTTTTTTACTTGAGTTTTCTTAATTTCTGTCTCTCTTTGTTTCCCCAGTAATTCCTGCTTGAGTTTCTTCATGGGCATATGCTATTACGATTTCACGGGAATGTACCTCTGAATCAGAACTAAAATTCATCGAATTGTGTTATTTTTGCTGTGAGATTTCTTTTGTTTTCTGTTTTTCTACCTGAGTGAGCATAAGTAGTCTCTTCCTTTAATAGGAAAAGTTAGTTTCTTTGGGGGTTTTATGAACTGTTCTGTGATTAGGCTTGGCAGACGCTATAAAAGAGGTACCTTTTGCAATCGTGCTTTATGGTTTGATTATGATTATAGTTAAAGACTTAAAGGTGTGATTATGGTTTGTCTTCTTGTTTGTTCGGTTCCGTCAAATTTCTTGACTGAGCCATGTTATATTTAGGTTCAGCACTAGTGTCTGAAATTAGGAAAAATATAATTTTATTTGTAATATTGATATAAGCCTTGAATGAATCAATTTAGTTGCTTTCTATTGTCTCTTGATTCGTAATACTGATTCATGTTTAAATTTTGTGATTGATGACATAGAAGTGGACTAAGTATCATCTTGATCGCTGTTTTAACTTGTTTGACTCCTGCATTCTTTTGTTTAACCAATCAAAACTTTTTGTATGTTAAGAATGTACCTAGTAATCTATTGCTGATTGACTTGTACTTTGTTGTTGTTATCTTTCGAGAACATGGTCCAAGACTAAGTTTCGTATTCACAGAATTCTTTCATGCTCACTTTTGTGGAATGCTTGGTTGGAAAATCTTTTGCACCAACCAGTTCTTTAAATGTACAATAAGATGTGATAATGACTGCTAACAACATCTTAAATTTGGCACTAACTATTTCATCGCTGTTGCTTAGTTATGTTCTTGGTGTTACATTTACTTTCTCCAATTTGTGAGACAAGGAAGATTCTTAATGTTCTAAAAATGGATTTACTTTCTCTCAGCATATTACAGTGACATATGTGTTGGAGCTATCGCTTGTCGGCTGGAGAAGAAAGAAGGTGGGGCCATGCGAGTTTATATAATGACGCTTGGTGTTCTTGCACCATACCGTGGGATTGGCATTGGTAAGTCATAAATCTGCTATGCCAAACTTGAATCTTGATACCGACAAAACATCAATGATATAGAAAACTATTAGCATATTGCGTAATTCTGTTGTTTTCCTTACGTTTTAACACATGAGGCTAGCTGTAGTATGTTTATTCTGTAGTTCTCTATTTAGAGATTCGAACCACCAAGAAATAGTCCTTAGGGCTTTATGCATATTGTTGTTTTACGGAGAAACTGGAATTAGTGACAATGATTTCCTCATATATCAGATTTAAGATCGAATATCCCTGCTTTCAAAAAGGAAAACACTATGTCTACTAACTTGTGTATCTTGTTTTTTTTTTTTGTCTTTTGCAGGTTCAAAGCTACTGAATCATGTTCTTGAGATGTGCTCCAAGCAAAACATGTGTGAAATATACTTGCACGTGCAGACAAACAACGAAGACGCGATCAAGTTCTACAAGAAGTTCGGGTTCGAGATCACAGATACCATACAAAACTATTACATCAACATTGAACCAAGAGATTGCTACGTTGTCAGCAAGTCCTTTGCTCAATCTGAAGCCAACAAATGATGAGAAATACCCAACTTGGGGAAGCCATTCCTCCCCAGTTTGTTTGTTCAATTCAAGATCTATTAATGTTATGATGCGTCTGTTTCCAAGTTTTGTTAACCTTAAAGTTTCTTAATGATTCTAAAGCTATAGATCCTGGTTATATACTTACATGATTTCTTTAGTTTTGGACCCTTTTTGATTGGGGAAGTTTTAACTTTGCAACTCAAATCTTTATTACTACTCAGTATCATGTGTTTGTAATCGCGGGGGTTTGATCAGATGAGATGAGAAATAGATATTGAGGTTTCATATCTGAAGTGTTGTTTGTTGTTCTAACAATTTGAGTAAGAAAAATACAAGATTCTCGTTATGGGTGTTGAATGTAATGATAAAATGACTTCATTTTGGCTTGCGTGCCATTTTATTCACAATGAAGACAGGAAGCTATGTACTTGTAGATTGTAAAAACGGCACGATTTTTCAAAGAATCTCCGTTCACCGGATTGATTCGTCTCTCTCTGCAATTAAGCACCGCTTCTTCAAGCTTCCAATTCGATTGACCAATGCGGCGTTCTCGTTTTCTCGCCCAAGTTTTCTCCGACGCTTCCTTCACTGACGTATCCACTACTTCTGCTCCAATCGTCGCCATGTCTACTCGTGCTCCGGTAATATTCCTCAGCCATTCTCTTTTTGTATCACTCCCGATGCGTTACTTCGGTTACTGGAATATAATTTGTTTCTTACGGAGCAGTACAGAGGTGCCCGAGGACGAGGACGAGGACGAGGCCGAGGCGGGAGAAGTTTCTCCGATCGTCCGTACAACAATGACGCGGGAAGAGATCAGTTCGTGACTGGAGACTCGCATTTTCAGTCAGTTCATGACGCAAATCTTCGATTCCGGCATGGTGAACCTTATCGACAACCTCAACCTCCGGTAGATCAGCGGCAGCAACCACCGTTCAATCAGAATTACGAATTTCGGCCTCCGCCGCCGTCTCAAGGTCAGTGGCAACAATTCCGTCAACCTAATCATTTACCGTCCAATCAAAGCTATGCGGCATACCCTCCCCCTCCGTTCTATCCAAACCAGATGTCTCGGCCGCCTCCACAGCGGAGCTTTCGTCAACGGCCACGGTCAAAACCTTCAGATTACCGTGAATGGGAATATGCCAAAACGCCACCGTCTCCTGGCTCCGGTAAGTTTTGCTTGACCATCTCACTGAACTTTTGCTCCGGTATACAATATTTCATTTGCTTTCTTTTATCTGCAGAAAAGTTTGTTGTTTTATCGTATAATATCTTGGCGGATTACCTTGCAAATGATCACTGGAGAAATCTTTACTTTCACATACCGAGGAATATGTTGAGTTGGGGATGGAGAAAGAGTAAAATAGTGTTCGAGCTTGGCCTATGGTCTGCAGATATAATGTGCCTTCAGGTTATAGTTTCTGCTATATCTTCTTGGCAATTGTTTGTATGAGGGACTAAGGAGACAAAGCTTTCTTGCTTTCCTCTTTTTCATCATATACAGAATGTATCTTCCATATACATAGTAATCTAAAATTATTTTGCATATGTCAGGAAGTTGATAAATTTCAGGACTTAGAGGAGGAGATGAAGCACCGGGGATATAGTGCCATTTGGAAGGTAGGTTTGTTGAAAACTATTAGGGGTCTTGAGTTTGTATTCTCCACCGACTCTCTTGGAGTAAAGATTAAATGGTCTGCATCATAGGCTTCAAATGTGGGGCTAACTATATTTTATAAAACTGTAGATGCGGACTGGTAATGCTGTTGACGGCTGTGCAATATTTTGGCGATCAAATAGGTTTGATTCCCTTGCTCTTCCTTGTGTCTTTCAGTCTGGAATCTTGTTTGGGATCTCATTGTTATCATATTAGATTCAAGTTGGTTCACGAGGAAAGCATCCAGTTCAATCAACTTGGTCTTCGGGATAATGTTGCTCAAATATGTGTGTTTGAGGTAATATGGATACCCTATTTTGATAGTGACTTACATACGTTTGCTTCTTTACCCTAAATTGAATTTGCTCTGTCTAGACACTGTTGACGTCACATACAAAAGAAAATGAGACCCCTCCACCTGAAAGGTAACTTCAAAAGTATCTGTAAATATTACTATCATATTATGTTATGGGTGGATAATTGCCATTCTCTAGGTAGTGGCCGATTTTCTTCAGATTTCAGTGGTTTGCTTTATGGACTAAACTTTGTAGGTGGGTTGAAGTGAATTACCAATTTCTTTTGCAGCTCTGCTGGTTCCCACCGAGTTGTCATTTGTAACATTCACGTGCTTTTTAATCCTAAAAGAGGAGACTTTAAACTTGGTCAGGTACTTTCCTTTAATGCCATATTCTAGTTTGTAGAAATCTTTTCCCAAACGACAGTTTTACTCTCTGATTTAACTCTATCTATACGCTATGGACATGGAAAAGTGTTAGTTGTCTGAGATAAAACTTTTGATGCAAAACACTTCGCCCCTTGCTTAACTTGGTTTGTTTAACTGTTTCCATTTATCATCTCTGTTACGTAGGTCAGGACACTCTTAGATAAAGCTCATGCTGTTTCAAAACTCTGGGATGATGCGCCTATTGTTCTTTGTGGGGATTTCAATTGTACACCAAAGGTAGGACATTCTTACTTTAACCAGTTGGTATACCCAAAAAAACCTGTTTTGTGACATGGTCATAACATTCTTCCACCTGGTTGCAGAGTCATTTGTACAACTTTATTTCAGACCGGAAGGTAAAGCTTCATTGTTAGGCAAGTCCTTCACCTATTAGCAACATTATATATATGGTTCACATTGTGTCTTGTGCTGCTCTCTGCAGTTGGATTTGTCTGGTTTGGCCAGAGACAAAGTTTCGGGGCAAGTTTCTGCTGAGTTTCGTCCACCAAGGCCAGAAAATTATACGACGAGGTAGAGCAAGAACTCACCAAGTTCTTCGACATCATTATGTATTTGGTTTTGCAACTTAACACCTCCATGTTTACCCTAGAATCTCGAGATCTACTCTGCTTTCGCAAATATCAGCATGGTTGATAGGCCTCCTCAATTTTCCAGGTTTCAGTCCGCCAATAAATCTCCACAAGGTCAAGTTCAACCACCACATTCGATCACAAATGCTCAAATGGAGAATAACTCCAACATAGATGTTGGAACGGCCCCCTCCGAGAAGATATATGAGCTTCCATGTGGTGATACAATTCTTGCTGGTCACGAAGCCACCTCCAGCTCTGACCAAGTATTACCACGCGAGAATATGGCCTCAGATTGTAATTTTGGAATAGAAAACAGAAAACCTGATGACTCCAGGAATCTCTCGATAGCTGAAGATCTTTCTTCAGTAACCATATCAGATACAGAACCTCAACATGCTTCCAGTGCTAGAGAAGATTTGAATACAGATCATTCTGTGAGTTCCGGTTTATCAGAAACAGAGCAATCTCCTGAGGAAATATGCTCCAGTGATCAAGATATTTCATCTAGTCTCTCCACCAAGGTTGACACTACTTTGGCTGAAATGAAACTAGATGGCTCAACATTGGACGAACCAGTAGTATTCGCGCAAGATGAAGAAGGTTTAGGAGAAGATGGGGAAACCTTTTTGGCTAAGCTACACGATAATAATGAAGACTTGAGTCAAAAAGGGGAACTTGTGAATGAAGTTCCACTTAAATGGAGTTTTGAAGCTTTTAATAGTGACAAAATCACTTATAGTCCATCTTCTTGGACTCCAATGGAGATAGCAACTGCAACAGGTGACCCAGAGAGAACTACGGTTGAACATGCTCTGGAGCTTAAAAGCACTTACTCAGAAGTGGAGGTATTGTAATATATCCCCCCTACAGTTTTTTCCTTTTACCTTCTGTTTCTTGAGAAATTATATTCTTAGGAAGCTGTTGAAATTTGTGGTTAGGGTCAAGCAAACACAAGGGATGAAAACGGAGAACCTGTAGTGACCAGTTATCACAGATGTTTCATGGGGACAGTTGACTACATATGGTATTAGCATTAGAAGCAAAACCATTTGTGGCAAACCTGAAATTAGATTACTTTATTATTGTGGATTATGCACGTTTTGACATATTCTCATGTTTGATTTCTGGTTTGGGTTAGGCGGTCGGAAGGTCTTCAAACAGTGCGTGTGCTTGCTCCAATACCAAAGCAAGCAATGCAGTGGACACCAGGCTTCCCGACTCCAGTAAAATCCCATGATATTGTTTATTATAAAGCCTAGCTTTTTAACTGAATTGATTACAAAACCTTTTTATGTTTGTATTTCTGGTTTGTTACAGAAATGGGGAAGCGATCACATTGCACTGGTTTCAGAGTTGGCCTTTTGCAGCAGCAAAACTCTGCCCAAAAGCTGATATGAAACAGGTGGTGACTTCATTAGAAATCTAAGAAAGTGTAAGGAGATTAGATGTTGGAGGTCTTGGGTTCAAAGCACGTCCTCGTTGCAATGTTCGTGATCTTAAGGTCGTTAATAGCTTATTTTATAGCCCAGCAAAACATCTGAGAGTAAAATTTTACAGAATCTCATAGGCTCCAGTTTTGTTTTTTCCTCCATCATAGTTTACTTTACAGTGACAAATTATATTTGAGTTTTTGAGGTTTTCTTTTTTAGCGACACTCGATTTCAGAAAATCTGCTATAAAAGTTTAAAGCATGCTTCTTGATTTTAAATAGCTTCAATTGTTAACCCCCAACTCTTTCAGCTTTAGTCTAGACTGACTCTTTCAATCATTACAAATATAAGGACATCTCACATTAGGACTTAACCTCTGCAATATAATTCAGAGCATCCAAAACTTGTTGCATCAATGGTCTTTTCTTCTTGTCCAGCTTGGTGCATGTTTGGATGACTGTGACCATCTTTGTTGCTGCATCCACAGGATAATCGCTTCCTATTCAGGAATCGATTATTTCCCCAATCTTATAGTTATCGGGCAAGAAAGATCCAGTCCAATCTAAGCTTTGATTCTTCAAAGTTGTTGATATATCTTGTGAACCAGCCAAAAGCTCAAGCAAGATCACACCAAATGTGTAAACATCGGTATCCATTCCTAAAATACCTACAAACATAACACAGTTGTCTTAACATTTAACAATGAAAGGTTAATATGAACTTGTAAAACAAAACTACCTGTCATAAACAATTCAGGAGGTATGTATTCAGTTCGTCCCACAAATGTCTCATCTTCCAAACGTTGACTTTTTGATTCAAGATAAAACAATTTCGCATTGTATTGCTGATGAAAATCCAAACTTAGGTATTAGTTTCTAAAATCACAAACAAAAAGAAAGAAGAAGAATGGAAATAAAGTCGTTACCACCTCGTCAAACATAATATTATGCATTCTGAGTTCTTGATGTAACGGGGTATTCTTGATCGAGTGTAGAAATGCAAGACCTTGAGCTGTTCCAATGGCTATCTTAACCCGTATATCCCATGGCAATGCCTCTTCTTCTGTTGAGAGAGAAACATGAAACTGTATATGTAAAGCAAAATTACCTAATACTGATTTATAGAATGGACACATTATATTAATTAGAAGAGAGATCGATCTTAACTTCCCAAAATGTAATGATCTAAACTTCCTTTGTGCAAGTCTTCTAAAACCAAGAGTGATTTGTTATCTTCACAACAGTAACCCAAAATTTTGACCAAGTTTGGATGACAAATTTTCCCTAGAGACTTAACTTCTTCCTGCAACTCATAGTTTTTTTATCCCCATCAATCAATAAGTACACAACACATAAAGATACAAAAAATAAAAAATAATTGAGTGAAAAAAATAGACAGACTTTGCTTACCACCCACTCTTGTTGAGCCTGTGAACTTATATGAAGATATTCGACAACAGAAACAGGGGTACCGGTTTTAGTTCTTGATAGTGCAAATGTGGTGTTATCGATGTAGCACTTGTAGAATGTTCGAAATCGAATATAGCGATCATCGCGAATTACAACCCTGTCTTGTCCGTTTATCTTGGTTGCTTTCATCCATTCCGTGAAGCTGAAGACTCTCAGATTCTCGTTTTGTACCTCCACGTCTTCATATTACATATATAAACGTGAGTTACGTATTTTTAAAACATTACATGTAAACAATAGTAAAGTGTATTTAAAAACAGAGATGTACCTGAAATTAGAGGGACGGTGAGAGGCTGGTAAGCAAATGAAGAAGGTTGTTGTTTGAAAGGCTTTACAATGTTTCCCATTGTTGATGATGCAAGGCTTGTTTCTCAATCTGCTCTCAAAATCGGAATGGAATTCACAAGATATTTACTTCTGGTTTCAAGAAATCTTGTTGGGTTTTAAAGAGGTTTAAAAGTTATTGTGCAAGGTCAAAAGAAAATCAACGCTTTGAAAAAGTTTCTTTGAGCTTAGATAGAGAAAAAAACAACCACTATATGATGACAGTAGTACTGGTTACTAAGTTCGGGAAAAAATTCTTAAACTTAAGTAAAGAATCTCATAAAAGTGCTAAGAGTCAATTTTAGTAAGTTATTGACTTATTATTGCTTAGTTGATTAGAAGTTTTTCTATAAGACTCAGTAAACAGTTTCAGAAAAAGTGTTGTCAATTTTTATTGACTTCTTGCTTAGTTGATTATAAATACAGAGGCTCTAAATGGTAACTTTGGGACGTATAGGGCACCATTATTATTATTATGGAGTAAATGTACAAAAAGACAAAACCAAAAAACGCGTTAATTTGTATTCCTTCTCCTTATACTAGCTGAACAGTGAATAGCCTGAATTGAACGGGTATTTGAATATTTATTTTTACTTTTTTTTTGCTAAACAAATTTTTACTTTTTCTTTTCTTTCTATTTGTTAATTCTAATAATTGAACAAAATTTTACGAATTTTCAAAATAAAAGTCATTGGTGATATATTAATTTGTATATAAAACGTATTTCATTACGATTTGTGTTTTATTAAGTTACAACTGAAAAGAAAAAAATTAAAAAAAGCTAGCGTGAATGTCTTTTATATTGTTGTATTAACTTGCACAGTTTTACAAACGCAGGCCAGTCTGCGTTCATCTGGTCCACCTTGCCACATAAAAAAAAAAAAAAAAATCTGACCGCAACAAGCCGGTTCTAACGACAGCGGTTTATGTAGCTATGTCCAAACTTTTCTTTTTTTGTGGTAAATAATTAAAAAATAAACTAGCAATTACCTTTTAAGATTATTAATTTTTTTGTAAATATTCTATCTTTTATACACTAAAAATCTTTACATTATGACATATTTCATAGATTTTACTTCATTGACTATGTAAAAATATTGATTTATATATAGAATTAATATTATTTATTAAAAGTTAGTAGTATACTAGTATGTGACTGTGGGTCGTGTCCACCATTGGCTGGTCCACGAGGTCCACTGCTTAACCGGTCTAAAATTTTTATGTACATACCCACCGCATGACAGGCCGGGTTTGACTTGGCTCGCCCTCTCTATTTTGACATCTCTATCTGCAATCCTGTTTTAGTTTCGTTCCTAGGGTTTTAACAAATTGAAGGATTTTCTAGGGTTTGGTTCCGTTGTCGTTTCAATTATTCTCTGCGTCTCTACCTTTGGTTGTTACTGTTTTTCTGTGTGGCTCAGACTCAAGTTTCTTGTGTGGGTTTTGTGTACGTAAGATATGGACAAAATCAGTGGATTTTCTGATGATGAATTGCTCGTGAAGATCTTATCGTTTCTTCCAACAAAAGTTGCTGTAAGCACGAGTATTTTGTCAAAGCAATGGAGGTTTCTTTGGATGCGGGTACCAAAACTTGAGTACGATGCCACCATCTATTGTGATATAGAGAAAAGAAAGAGGATGCGGAGTTTTATTGACAGGAATCTGCCATTACATAGAGCTCCCGTAATAGAGAGCTTGTGTCTCAAGTCTTGTTCATCGTTTCGACCTAAAGGTATCAAATCTTGGGTTGACATTGCGGTTTCACGGTGTTTGCGTGAGCTAAGGGTTACTTATTATATGAAAAAATGGGGGACCTATGCATTACTGCCGAGTAGTTTGTATAGTTGCAAATCTCTAGTGACATTGAAACTGAACTACGGGATTTTCGTGGACGTTCCTTGTATGGTTTGTCTCCCCTCCTTGAAAACTTTGCACCTTCAAGGTGTGAAATACGCAGATGAAGAATGTCTTCAACGGCTTTTATCCAATTGCTCTCTTCTCGAAGATCTGGTTGTGGAACTATGTAAAGGTGACAATGTGAGAAAGTTTGCGGTTATCATCCCGTCATTACTTAGATTGTCGTTTGAGATTTCTAATTCGTGTACTTGTGATGAGTATGTGATAGATACTCCTTCTTTGAAGTATTTCAAAGCTAGGGATTTTAGTAAGAGTCTCTCGTGTTTGATTAAAAATATGCCTAAGTTGGAAGAGGCCGATATTGCTCTTCGTGGATCTTCTGATGTCAAGAAGCTTCTCAAACCTGTCACTTCTGTCAAACGTCTTTCGTTATGCTTAGAAGTCAACAATGTAGAGGTAATTTGACTCCATTGATATAACTGATCAATTAATCTCTTCAAAATCTCACTTTATCATTTAGATTACTAAACCTTACTTCGTACAGGATCAATATGGTGATGATATTGTCTTTAATGAGCTTGAGCATCTCAAGTTACGCATACTTAAATCATATTGGTCCAAGTTACTACTCTGGTTGCTCAAAGGTTCTCCCAAACTACGAGACCTCGAGCTCAAAGTAAGTTCTTCGATATATGTACTCCTATTATATTTTAGCTAATCCTTATAGTACCTCTTATATTTTTTATTTTTTTTAATCTAAGGCAATCTTTGCACGAGATACATTGCTTTGTTGGAAGCAAATAATGATTGATGTTCCTCAATGTTTGTTGTCGAGTCTCCAAACTTTCAAGTGGACATGTTATGGTCCAACAACAGAAGAGAGAGATCTGGCGACATATATCTTGGAAAAATCTTGCCAATTAAAGACTGCGAGAATCGTGATTGGTTTAAAGTTGGATCCAGAAAAGAAGCTTGAGATGAAGAACGAGTTATTTTCTTCATGTAGTTCAACCACATGCAACCTCGACCTCATTTTCAATTTGGAAAAAGAAAAAAAAAAACTTGCAATAACATAACATCTTTGGATTTGATCTGTTAAAAGTTGTTGTTTTTAACGATAAATTTTTTAATATCGTAATTCCAAAGATGATGAAATTAAAAAAGATCAGAATTATGGATTAGGCCCAACTAAAATCTAATTGGGTTTATCAAAAGTCAACTTTATGGGCTTTAATTTATTTATATCTCCAGGCTTCAACGTGAGTACAAATGTTCTTCTTCTTCTTCTCTCTCTCTACCAATTCCGCTGGATTTTCTCACTCTCTCGATAAAGCTTCTCCGTTCTCCACATCTCAACATTTTAGGCGTTTTTCGCGGCATTTATTTCGAATTCGCGTGAAGAAGATTCTTTACAATTGCTTGTATGTTTTCATTTCTTCTTCAGAATTATCTTCGTCGTCCGTTGTAGTTGATTTTCGAGGCTTTTCTCTTCATGGGTTCGGCTTCGATTGGTTACCAAATCGGAATCTCAGCTCGATTTTACGGCAATTTTAATTTGAGCTCAGATATTACTGTCTCCTCGCTTCCATGTAAAGTTGATGTTTCCATAAAGAGCCTATTCTCAGCTCCAAGCTCCACTCACAAGGTAAAGGACCCGTCTTTGGTTGTTTCTATTAATCTCGTTTATGCCAATAACACAAAAGTGCCAAACTTTCAATCTGGTTCTCAATAATTCTATCAATTGCTTCTTCTTTTTTGCTTCGGATTTAGATCGTCTTTAGTTGGTGGATTCTCCTAATGTAGGCGTTTGAAATCCAGGAATGTTCAAATCGAGCTCGGGTATGTTGTTCTTTGCCAAATACTGATGAATACTGCGATGAGAAATTTGAGACGCCAATACTAGACACCATTGAGACTCCATTGCAGTTGAAGAATTTGAGTGTTAAGGTGGATTTCTTCATGTTCTTATGCCGTATGTAGTTGAATGAAAGCTTAAAAGGATTGAGGTTAATGAGGATGGTTTTTCTTCTCGTAGGAGTTGAAGCTATTAGCTGATGAAATCCGTACAGAGCTTCATTCTGTATTATGGAAGAAGACCCAAAAGTCTATGAACCCTAGCTTTGCTGCTATAGAGCTTACCCTTGCTCTGCATTATGTTTTTCGTGCCCCGGTTGACAATATATTGTGGGATGCTGTGGAACAAGTAAGCTTATGTTTTGAAAATTCAAGGGATTGATGATCTGATTTTCTTATGTTTTGGTGGAAGGGTTTGATTTGTTTACTGTGGTGTTAACAGCTTTTTTTTTGTCCTTTGTAGACATATGCACATAAAGTCTTGACACGACGCTGGTCTGCAATACCATCGAGACAAAAGAACGGTACTTCTGGGGTCACTTCTCAATTGGAGAGTGAATATGATTCTTTTGGGACCGGTCATGGCTGCAACAGTATTTCTGCTGGGCTCGGTAATATTTTCGTCACCCTTTATTAAAGAGTCAGTTGCCTATAGTTATAGCTTTTTACTTCTTTTTTTGCCTTTTTTTGTGTAAAACAAGAAGTAGACTTGGCTAATGAATGCTATTATCGATATGGTACGCTGAACGTTTATTTCTGTTTCTTAGGATTAGCGGTTGCTCGAGATATAAAAGGAAAGAGAGACCGGGTTGTTGCTGTGATAGACAATGTGACAATAACTGCTGGTCAAGCATATGAGGCAATGAGCAATGCTGGTTACTTAGATTCTAATATGATTGTTATACTAAATGATAGCCGTCACTCTTTACATCCAAATATGGAGGAGGGATCCAAGGCATCCATCAGCGCACTTTCTAGCATCATGAGTAAAATCCAATCTAGCAAAATTTTCCGGAAATTTAGAGAACTAGCCAAAGTATGCATTTTCCATACTCTCTTTATGAAACTTAGTTGCTTACAATTTTGATGCTGGAAATTTGGTGTTTAATGTTATTTGAATGTTTGTTTTTGGTGTGGATTTTGACAGGCTATGACGAAAAGAATTGGAAAGGGCATGTATGAATGGGCAGCAAAAGTCGATGAGTATGCACGAGGTATGGTTGGACCAACAGGATCAACTCTCTTTGAAGAACTTGGTTTGTACTACATTGGTCCTGTTGATGGACACAACATTGAAGATCTAGTTTGTGTTCTCCGAGAAGTATCTTCTCTAGATTCAATGGGTCCTGTGTTGGTCCACGTGATCACTGAGGAAAATCGAGATGCAGAAACCGGAAAGAACATCGTGGTCAAAGGTATATCTGTCTGCTTATGTTATTTTCCTGAGAATATGTGCTTATCCAAATCTTGACTTTGTATTTTTTTTTTTTTTTTCTCAGACAGACGCACTTACAGTGATTGCTTTGTTGAGGCTTTGGTGATGGAGGCAGAAAAGGATAGAGATATTGTTGTTGTTCATGCAGGAATGGAGATGGATCCATCACTTCTTACATTTCAGGAGAGATTTCCAGACAGGTTTTTCAATGTCGGAATGGCTGAACAGCATGCTGTCACATTCTCTGCTGGTCTTTCTTCTGGAGGCCTCAAGCCCTTTTGTATTATTCCCTCTGCTTTTCTACAAAGAGCTTATGACCAGGTACACTTTCCCCTAGCACAGAGTAAGATTGTTCTAAAAGGTTCTTTATTACAAGCAAATGGCCTTAGTGTCTTTGATGGTTTTTTTAGGTGGTCCATGATGTAGATCGGCAGAGAAAGGCGGTGCGATTTGTTATTACAAGCGCAGGGCTTGTTGGATCTGATGGTCCAGTGCAGTGTGGAGCTTTTGATATAGCTTTCATGTCATCCTTACCAAACATGATAGCCATGGCTCCAGCCGATGAGGATGAGCTTGTAAATATGGTTGCAACTGCAGCTTATGTCACTGACCGCCCAGTTTGTTTCCGGTTCCCTAGAGGCTCCATCGTCAACAGGAATTATCTTGTCCCCACTGGACTACCAATTGAAGTAAGTTCCAATCTAATCTTCAAGTCTTTTGTTGCAAAGACAGACTGTGCTGACACGAGAACTGCTTTATCAAATTAGAGTAGATCGGAAGAGGAAGAGTTCTCGTAGAAGGTCAAGATGTGGCTTTGCTTGGGTATGGAGCCATGGTTCAGAATTGTCTTCATGCTCACTCGCTTCTCTCAAAACTGGGTTTGAACGTGACTGTAGCTGATGCAAGATTTTGCAAACCGCTAGACATCAAGCTTGTGCGTGATCTTTGTCAGAACCACAAATTCCTCATCACGGTTGAAGAAGGCTGTGTTGGAGGGTTTGGTTCGCATGTGGCGCAGTTCATAGCCCTCGATGGCCAGCTCGATGGGAATATCAAGGTAGAGAGACAAATCAAAACCGCATGTTCTCATCTCTTTCTTCTTTTTGGTTTTGGGTTACTAATTTACTCTTTTTGGGAATAAACATTGTCTAGTGGAGACCGATTGTGTTACCAGATGGCTACATCGAAGAAGCATCGCCTAGGGAGCAGCTTGCTCTTGCCGGGCTAACTGGACATCACATAGCAGCAACCGCTCTGAGTCTTTTGGGACGAACTCGGGAAGCATTGCTTCTCATGAGCTAGCTTAACCTTCACAAGAAGCTAAGAGACTTAAAAGAGGCATCACATATCTATGACTTGTTAAGAGAAGTGAATGATCAGTGTAATTATTGAGTTTCATCAACAAAATTTGTAGATAATACATTCGGATTCAAGAACCAATTTGATATCCTGATTTTGGAAGAACAATCATTTAGCTATGTATGTTGTAAATGTAGAGATGGAAATAAATTCAATACTTTTTACGCGGTTTTCTCAATTTTCATATTCCCCAATTTGTTGTTGTTGTTGTCAGGTCCCTAATATACAGCTACTAGTTTTTCTATTTGGTGTTAACAACAGTTACATGTCCCAAATCTGGAAACAAACAAAATATAGAACAGAGACATGTATTTTCGACACTTGAGAGTCTTTTAATAAAAAGCTTCCCTTTAAAGAGTTACTGTCAATATTCGTTTAATTACGAATCTTCTTCTTCTCGATCTCTGTCTCTCTCTCGATCATTTCGCTTCTTTGCTCTGAATCGTGTGGTTTCGAATCTAATTGTAAGTTTTCTCCTTTTCATTCATTTTGTGTCAATCGATCTCTTAGAAGTCGATCGGAATCAAGTAAAAGATCGGAACTTTTACCTAGATTTTCTCAGGAATCGAAAAATTCTTTGTGATTTAGCAGAACCCATGATCGTTGCATCTAGTAAAAAAAGACCCGATCTTTTAATTCAATTGTTGACAAACATGATGATGCTTTCTCTGTTGCAGTTGAATTGAAAGATGGAAACAGAAACGGAACATGATAGAACTGTCTCTGTCGATGACGACGACAGTCTCGTACCAGAGCCAAGCTCAACAAAAGAAAGCTTTTTTGAAGATCTCTCGCTTACTGGGCAAGTTATGAATCCTGAACTTTCAAGTGCAGGCCAAGTTTTGACAAAAGTTGAATTGGATTTTGCTTTTGTCTCTGAGAAATTGGTCAATCTTAGTCTTCTTACTATGCAACTCGGCACGAGGGAAAATGATTTTGAGTCTTTTGTTTCTAAGAAAGAAGAAGAAGAAGAGCCTTCGAGTAATGGTGATGACGATGATAATTCTGCTGAGAAGGCGTTGGAGTTTGATCTCTTATCTTCAATTCTCAATTCAGAGGTGAAAGAACTTGAATCGCTTCTTGGTTTTCTCCAGAACGAGATTCAAAGTGCCCGTGTCATGATATCTCCGTTTCAACATGATGGAGAAGCTTTCTTGGATTTGGAAGGGAAACTGCATGACACTGAACAATCTTTGGGTCAGTTAATGGATCAAGTGGTGGAAATGAAGAAGCAATCTTCTAACTTTCAGAGGTTATCTTCTGGTTTGGATGAACAAGGAAGCTGTAAGTGACAAACATAACCAATTTAGCTTCTTTTTAACCTTGTTGTGATGACTTGATGGATAAAATGCTCAGGCTTTGATGGAAATTATGTAACTTTGCTTTGTCAGGGTCTGGAGGGCAAGCTTCAGTGTCTCAAAACGATGGTGAGTTTGGTGATCTGAGCGCTAAGATCAATATGCAGACTGCTGATCAGCAAAGGAACGTTTTGAGGATGCTTGAGAAATCTTTGGCTAAGGAGATGGAACTTGAGAAGAAACTAAGTGAATCAAGAAATACTGAACGAGAACTAGAGATGAAACTATATTCTTCTGAGCAGGATGTTGTCTACATGGAAGAAGTAACCGAAGATGCCTTCTCGAGGTGGCTTGAGGCAGATAATGCTGCTGAAGTCTTTAAGGGAACATCAAAGGAGATGTCTGGAAAACTCCAGATTCTTCAGTTCAATCTAAGTGGCTCTTTTAAGCGGGAAGACAACTTGAAGTCAGAGCTTGTTGATTCAAAGGAACGTTTAGAAGCTAAGGAATGTGCCTTGCACAAGCTTGATAGCAGCAATGCAAGACTTACTGACTTTCTGATGGCACAAACAGAAGGCTTAAAAGATAATTTGAGAGAGGCTGAGGAAAAATTGATTCTGTTGAATACTGAGAATTCCACATTAAGTGAAAAAGTTAGCTCCCTGGAGGAACAACTGAATGAATATGGGCTTCAAACAGAAGATGCGGATGCTACTTCTGGTGCTCTGATAACAGATCTTGAACGTATCAACGAGGAACTGAAAGATAAATTAGCCAACACTGAAGCAAGGGCTGAGGAAGCAGAATCCAAGTGCAAAATCCTAGAAGAAAGCAAAAAAGAGCTTCAAGACGAGTTGGGGACTTTCAGAGACAAGGGCTTCACTCTGGAGAAGTTAGCATCGCTTGAGAAACACTTGAGGGACTCAGACCTTCAACTAGAACATGCAGTTGCAGCTGTTGAAGCAAGTAAAGAAAAGCAGAACTTGTTATATTCTACTGTTTCTGATATGGAGGATGTGATTGAGGATCTAAAATCAAAAGTTTTGAAGGCTGAAAACAGGGCTGACTATACGGAAGAGAAGTTGATCATGGTATCTGAGTCTAACGCAGATCTCAATGAAGAACTGAAATTCTTTAAGGGTAGATTGAAAGAAGGGGAGAAATATTTACAGCAAGCAGAAGAAAGAAAATTGCGAACCGCCAAAGATATCGCTGTACATAACAAGATCATGAAAAAACTGGTCATGCAACTAGCTGCTGAACGAGAACGACTTCATAAACAGGTATTAAGAGATTAATATATTCGTAAAACCCAGTTCGCTGTTAGTTCATGTCTTTGTAGCTTCATCATCATCACAGTGGATGCTTAGATGTAGTGACTTATTTGCAGATAACCAACCTGTCAAGAGAGAATTGTGTGTTGATGGTGAAGTTGAAAAAGATTGGAAAAACTGGTTATATGAAAAGTGGCAATGGAAGTGAAGTTTCACCAAAGTCGGACCAGAATGCTTCTTCTTGCCATCAAGGAAGTAGACTTCAAGCCACCGTCACTTCACTAACTAATTCAGAGGTAACTTAATTCTTCCTTACAAAAAATCTGATTTTGCAGGCATCTAAGTGAGTTTTTATAGTCCAACAATCAAAAATTATGAATCTAATCTTGACGTTATTCTATAAAGACTTTGTAAAAAAGTAACGGTTGTCACCTTTTTGTAGGAGGAAGAAACAGGTTCAAAATCAGATATTGGAAGTGTAAGGAGATTAGATGCTGGAGCTCTTGGGTTCAAGCACATTCTCGTTGCAATGCTCGTGATCTTAATATCGTCAATAGCTTACTTTATATCCCAGCAAAACATGTAAGAGTCTTTAACTTTTTTCCGAAATCTCAGACTCCAGTTTTGTTTCTCTCTTTGTCATAGTTTACAATGACAGATTATATTTTAGTTCTTTTTGGCTATCCAGTTACATAAAATCTGCTATAAAAGTGATTCCCCGACTCTTTCAATTTTAGTCTCAGCACACTATTACAATATCTTTTTCAGTGTCAACAAGTAGTAGTACCTCTACACATTAGTCCTTAATCTCTGCAATATAATTCAGACCATCCAAAACTTGTTGCATCAATGGTCGTTTCTTTGTGTCATGCGCTGTGCATTGGTTGATGAGTGTGCCCATCTGTGTCGCCGCCTTCGCAGAATAATCGTTCCCAAGTCGAGGATCGATTATTTCCTCAATCTTATAATCATTGGGCAAGAGAGATGTAGTCCAGAATTCTACGCCTTCCTTATTCTTAATTTTTTTCCTATCCTTGGAACCCATTAAAAGTTCAAGCAAGATCATACCAAATACGCAAACATCGGTCTTCATATCCAAAAGACCTAATACATACATTACACAATTGTCTTAACGTTGAACAACGAAAGATTTAATCAGAGTTTGTAAAACAAAAGTTCATAGTTTCGTGTACCGAACGTTCCATATTCAGGAGCTAGGTATCTAAATCTTCCCGCGATGAGACCTTCATCTACCAAGCTTCGTGTGGTTGATTCAAGATAAAACAGTTTTGCATTGTATTGCTGATGAAATCCAAACTTAGATATTAATTTCTAAGATCATAAACAAAAAGAGAGAAGAAGAATGTAAATAAAACCATTACCACCTCGTCAAGCATAATGTTATGCATTCGGAGTTCTCGATGTAGCGGGCTGTTCTTGATCGAGTGGAGAAACGCAAGACCTTGAGCTGTTCCAATGGCTATCTTAACACGTATTTCCCATGGCAATGCCTCTTCTTCTTCTTCTGTTGAGGGAAACATGAAACTATATGTAATGCAAAAACTGTCTATATCGATTTTTAGAATGGACCCATTAACTAGAAGAGATCTTAACTTCCGAAAATGTACGAGTCCAGACTTCCTCTGTGCGAGTATTCAAAAACCAAGAAGAGTGGTTTGTTGTCTTCAGAACAGTAACCCAAGAAATTGACCAAATTCTGATGCGACATCTGTCCAAGAGACCTCACTACTGCCTGTGCCCATCATATAAGCAGACAAGACATATTACAAGGAATAAGAGACAGGTATCGATATTGCGTAAAAATGGACAGACTTAGCTAAGCTTACCATCCAGTCTTGTAGAGAGCGTGAACTATCACATTCCATGACAGAAACAGCGACTCCCGTTCCATTTCTTGATGGTGCAAATGTGGTTTCATCTATGTAGCCTTTGTAAAATTTTCGAACAGAGCCATCCTCGCATTCTACGACCCTGTCTTGTCTGAATTTCTTCGTTGCTTTCTTCAAATCCGCGAATCTGAAGACTCTCAGGTTCTCGTTTCTAAAGACTCTCAGATTCTCGTTTTCTGGCTCCACTTTTCATAGACATTACATATAAATCGAACAACGCATTTATATTTTAGACAGTATCCGTAAACAAAATGTAAAGTGCTTAAAAAAACAGAGATTTACCTGAAAATATTGGAGGGATAATCAGAGGCTTGGGAGCAAGTAAGGGAAGTTGTTGTTTGAGATGCTTTAGAGAATTTCCCATTGTTGATGAAGGAAAGAGGAAGATGACTAAAGATATGTAGATTTTTGGCTTCAAGATTGTAACAAATCTTTATAGGGTTTTAGTAAGAGTTTGTAACTTATTAAAGAAGCTACCGAAGAAAAAAAAGGGTTTAGACTGGCCTCAGAATTCAACCCAATTGCTCACTCAGGCCAAACAAGGAAAAAGGCGTAGAAGGCATGGTTGGGTATGTCTGTATCCATATAAGGCAAGTTTGTGGAAATATTTCTAAGACTCATTTATAGAGGAAGATTTTATCTTTCAAACTTTTATTCCAAACTTGTTCAACTTCAAATCTCATTACCTCTTATACACATTAATCTTTAATCTCTGCAATATCATTCAAACCATCAAAGACTTGTTGCATCGATGGTCGTTTTCTCGTGTCCAACTTGATGCATCTTTTGATGAGTTTTCCCATCTGTGTCGCTGCATTCACAGGATAATCATTGCCAAGTCGAGGATCGATGATTTCCCGGATTTTAGATTGATCAGACAAGAAAGGTTTAGTCCAGACATGTAAGCTTTGCATGTTCTCATTCTTTTTACCATCTGAAGCTTTCAAACCAGTTAAAATCTCAAACAAGATCACACCAAATGTATACACATCACTCTTCGTTCCCAAATGACCTACGTACATTACACAATTGTCTTAAACATCGAACCACGAAAGAATACTTAAGAGTGTTTGTTAACAAAACTTAAGATTTTGGTGTACCTGAGATTGCATATTCAGGAGCTAAATATACAGTTCTTCCTATGAATGCAGTCGTCACACTTTCTTCTAACAAACATAGTTTCTTTGATCCAAGATAGAACAATTTTGTATTGTAGTTCTGATGAAATCCAAAAGTTCATGTTTCATTATTATTGTAAGATTATAAACAATAAGAACAGCAAGAAGAGTGGTCTAAAGTCATTACCTCGTCAAGCAAAATGTTATACATTCTGAGTTCACGATAAAGCGCGCTGTTCTTGACAGAATGTAGAAATGCAATACTTTGAGCTGCTCCTATGGCTATCTTGACACGTGTTTCCCACGGCAATGCTTCTTCTTCTTCTTCTGTTGAGAAAACATGAAACTGTATGTAAAGGAAAATTGTTGACATTTTCACATTCTCTCTATCTTTCACTCTTTTTCTCTTGTTTGTGTTCACTTGTTCTAGAGAGAAAACAAGAACACATTTACTTTAATCTTCTACATTGATAATTGATCGGATCACTTGGATAACATTACACAACACCACACACACACTCTTATACTAGTTTTACTTCTACTTACTACACACACTTGCACCATGCTTCTACTTGGACTCTAGACCATACTTCTAGGTATTATCACCCTAAGACTATAACCAAACTTACAAGCAAGGTTAACCAACAACTCTTACACAACAACAACTCTAGTCTTTAGCAACTCTACTTAGTCTGAGTTTTAGACTAACAAAAACACATTTCCTTTTATTTGGGCCTTAACCAAAACGCAGCCCATTAGTCTTCTTAGGACCAAACCACACAAAGCCCAACTTCCTTGTTGTCTTGTCTTCTGTCGTTGACTTCTTCTTCTTCTCTTGGACGACTTCTTCGTCATCTTCTTCGTTGTGCTTCTTCTCTTTTCTTCATCTTCTTCTCACTGATTTCTATTTCTTTGTTGCAGGATTTAATCAAGAACTCAAATCTCAACACTCCCTCTTGAGTTCTTTGATTAAATCCCCAATTTCAATTTAGGGATTTTAATCCCATCGCTTCTTCTTCTTCGGCCTCTCTTCTCTTCTCCGGCGAGCATCTCCTTCTTTCTTCTATCTGTGGTTCTTAGCTTCTCCGACGACAGCTAGAGGTCACAACTCTCACCGATCACCAGTCACCGTCACGGTGAAAGTCTCTGCCGCCGTCTTCAACCACCACATTTTCTTTCGGTAAGTTTGCTCTTCTCCCTCTTAAGCTGAACCTCCATGGATCCAGTTTCTTCATTTTGTGCGAATATCTTTGCCATCTCTTGGCTAGTTTTCTTCGCAATTTCCTCTGTTTCTCTTTGATCAAATCCTTGACCAAAGACTCTTTTCTTGCAGGTAACACTTCGACCCTTTCCTTGAGCCTTCTTCATGTCACCTTCAAGTCTTCTCCGTGAGCTCTTCTCACGTCTCTTGCTCGGCTGACATTGCAACCGGCTTCAGCTCCCACTGTGGTGAGCTTCTTCTTTGCTTGGTGTCAACTGTGATCACCAGCCTTGTTCTCTTTTTTTTTTTCGATTCTCCGAACCATCACCTTAGCTTTAGCCTTGGACTTTTGACTCTGGCACCATCACCCGGCTTCTCTTACCGTAGTCTCTTAGGTTTCTCCATGAGTCTCATCCTAGCTTTCTTTGCCTTAGTCGTTTGGTTCTTTGAATCTCCACCTCGGTTTTTCTCTAACCTTAGCTTCTTAGGCTCTTGAATCATCAACCTCCGCTTTCTCGGACTTGGTTTGTTTGACTCCTTGAACCGTTGGCTTTGGTCTTTCTCTAACCTTGGCTTCTATCTTTCCTTCTCGTTTCAGCTGAAGAACCGCATGGACTCTCCACTTCATCGAGCATCTTTGAGCTTCATTGAGACTTGTCGAACAAGGACAGAACTCTCCTTCACAATACCATCTCCACACCGTTGTCTTCATTGCTTCTTCCAGAAGATCTCCACGTCTACTTGGATGCACCTGAAGCCCTCCTTCTCTAAGGTACGGTGTGAAAGAGTTTGTGTAGGTTGGTGGTGCACTTTTCACCACATCTCTTTCCTTCTCTTCTTTTCCGACATAGTCTCAGCTTTGCTCTTCTTTTCCCTCAGCCTTACACTTCTCTTTCTTGTGCAGGCTCTTCTCTTCTTTTGTCTTGAGCACAGGTCCACTCAAGAACTTTTGCCTATGAGCTCAGGTCCGCTCACGGCTTCTCTTCCAGAGGTTTGTCACTTCAACCTCTGTCTTCCTCTGTTCTTCTTCTCTCAGGTCCGGATCCTCTTGGTCTTTTTCTCACCAAAATTTAGGTCCGTACCTCTCTTTTCTTTTCTTCTTCTTTGATGGCTGTCTCCATCTTCTTCACAGCTTGGAGGTAGCTTCTCTCATGGACCCATCCTTCTTTCTTGAACAGGCTCCAAGGATAACTATAGCTCTGATACCATGTTGACATTTTCACATTCTCTCTATCTTTCACTCTTTTTCTCTTGTTTGTGTTCACTTGTTCTAGAGAGAAAACAAGAACACATTTACTTTAATCTTCTACATTGATAATTGATCGGATCACTTGGATAACATTACACAACACCACACACACACTCTTATACTAGTTTTACTTCTACTTACTACACACACTTGCACCATGCTTCTACTTGGACTCTAGACCATACTTCTAGGTATTATCACCCTAAGACTATAACCAAACTTACAAGCAAGGTTAACCAACAACTCTTACACAACAACAACTCTAGTCTTTAGCAACTCTACTTAGTCTGAGTTTTAGACTAACAAAAACACATTTCCTTTTATTTGGGCCTTAACCAAAACGCAGCCCATTAGTCTTCTTAGGACCAAACCACACAAAGCCCAACTTCCTTGTTGTCTTGTCTTCTGTCGTTGACTTCTTCTTCTTCTCTTGGACGACTTCTTCGTCATCTTCTTCGTTGTGCTTCTTCTCTTTTCTTCATCTTCTTCTCACTGATTTCTATTTCTTTGTTGCAGGATTTAATCAAGAACTCAAATCTCAACAAAAATTCAGTATACTGATATTTAGAAATGGACCCATTGATTAGAAGAGATCTTAACTTTCGAAAATATGACGGTCCAAACTTCCTTTATGCAAGTATTCGAAAACTAAGAATGATTTGTTATCTTCACAACAATAGCCTAAAAGTTTGACTAAATTGGGATGAGAAATACGTCCAAGAGACTTCACTTCCTCCTGCAACACAATAGTTTTTGTGTCCATCAGATGCATAAGTACATATCTATATTAAGAAGACAAACTTTAAAAAAAATAATGGACAGATTTTGGTTACCTTCCAATCTTGTAGAGTCTGCGAATTATCCTGATAACATTCCAAGACAGATACAGCGATTCCAGTTCTTGATGGAGCAAAGGTTGTCTCATTGATGTAGCCTTGGTAAAATGTTAGAATACATCCGTTATCATCCGTTATCATCCGAAATTGTCTGAATTTCTTTGTTGCCTTGCTCAATTTCGCAAAGCTGAACTCTCTCAAATACTCATTTTCTGACTCCCCTTTTTTATACATAACATATACGTAATTAAATTTTATATGTAAACAAAAGTAAAGTGCATATGAAAACAGAGATGTACCTGAAATTGGAGGATTGATGAGAGGCTTGGGAGAAGCTGAAGAAGGTTTGAGAGGCTTTAGACAGTTTCCCATTGTTGATGAAGATGTTAAATCTGTAGGATTTTGATTTCAAGATTTTAACAGATCTTGTAGGGTTTATTTTATGAGGTTGAAAATGATTTAAGTGTGAAAGAATCTTCAAAAAAGGTTGGGCTGTCTCTGAATTCAACCCTTTAAAAAGTCATGTTCACATTCAAAGCCAAAAGAATCCACAGTATAAATGCATATAAAGCCAAATTTAGTAAACAGTTCTAGAATAAACAGGAATTGAAAAATTAGATCTCGTTCTCTGTTCGAAACAAAAGAGATCATGCAGTGAATATAAAACAGTGAATATAAAAAAGGTAAAACATAATTAAATTTAACTTAGATTAGAGTCATGCAGACTAAACAGCCTGAGTTTGGGAAATAGAACAATAACTAGTGTCTCAAACAACGACGAAAGAGATGGCTCATAAGTCAAAAGCCAGGTTGGTTGAAGTAGTAAGGACTATGTTGGTTCACGTAGTAAGAACCATGTTGTGTCCAATAACAACAAGGTGTGTAGGGATTATATTGCGGTGCAAACTGAAACTGGTTCCAATTGGGTACATAGACTTCTACTTGTTGGACGTTTTGGTTATTGTTAACCCTAGCACCAATATAAGCAAGGTTGCACTTGGCCTCTCGTCCGTCTATGACCGGTTTTGGATTCTGGCAAGCTCTCGTTGCAGATTCAGCATCTCTAAACGTGACAAAACCATAACCCTCTGATCGTCCCGTTTCTCTATCACAAACCACATTAACATGGATAATTTCTCCAAATTGTTGGAAGTAGCTTTTCAAACCTTCATTTCTTGTTTTCCAAGGCAAACCTCCCACGTATATCTTGGTGTATCTCGTGTCGACGTTTTGGTTCGCGTAATGTTGAGCCATGTCTCTGTCACAAAGTCTTAAGAAGAAAAAAGTAAAAAGAAAGTCCCAACAACCGAGAAAAGAAAAAAAGATGAATTGAACGAATGAGGATAAATGTGTACATTTAATTTTCTTTCTGCATCCAATAATAAACATGAATTAGATATACTAGAAATTCGAAAGTTAAATAGAACTTATTGAAAGATATGTGTACAGTGTATATCCAAAATAATAATTCAGGAAACGAAACGAAACCAAATTCCCCCTATTAAAAAGAGATGAAGATAATAAGTAAGAGAGAATGGATATGTTTTTTTATGAAAGAGAAACAATTTCATTACCATATATGAGAAGCGAGAAACAAACACAAGATAAACAAAGAAGAAACGAAAAGATGAACTTACAAAAAAAGAAATACTCTGACGAACAGAGAGACCAAAAGATACAACAGAAAACAAAACTTTACCCTTATCTCTGATATGTCAGGGTTTAGCAGAATTATAGAAAAGTTAAAGTCCACTTTCCCTTTTATAGGTTACTTATGGTTTAGTTGACGAAATTTTTTGATGGGCCCAAACTTAAGTCCAAGACCAAGCCCAAGTCCAAACTCTTTTGATTCCAACACCAGCGGCTACAAAACGACTTTTCTCTTTTGTATCTGTCAATTTTGATTTCTTTGCACACAATCAATCTTTCACATTATATTGTAAGTAGCTATAGGAAGCATTAATGAATATGATTTAGGAAGCCATCTAATTAAGTACTCCTTAAGCTTAGATCATTTAAACACAAAAGATCGATGCCCACAACACGAAAACTATATATTATAATGGCTATAAATTATTATAAATGCGATCAATGTGGAGAAGTGTATCTAAAAAAGGATAGGCATGGAGTGAAAGAGTGAAGGCATTCCCATGTGAGTCACATTCACACGAGGGTCCTAAAAATATTGATGAGCTTATCCTCCTTGTCTTCTATTAATGCTTTTTAAGTTCCCAGCTAATATTGTTAGTAGTTTGATAGTGATACCACATGTAATTTTACTTTTTTGGAATATATGAGAGTTTTTTAAAGATATTTGATTCTGATACTTCATGAGATGATGCAATAAATAATCAACATCCTAACAAAAATAATAAGTAACACACTTATGCAGTAAAATTCTTAAAAACAATATAATAGCTTACCGTCACAATTTAATTTAATCAATCAACCCTTTAGTTTTAACTGAAATTCCAACCCTTTGATTAAATATCTATCAACTCGTCTATAATAATAAAATAGATCTATAGTTGTTTTTTTTTTTGTTTTTTATGGTTATAAATTGATTAATATTTAGCAGTAAAACAGTTAAATATAAAAAAATTGTTTAGTTAAAAAGATTTTGTGGTGGTACTAGGAAAATTTGAACTTAGCCAATATGACCGAATAATATCTTCTTCTTTTTCTTTTTCTTTTTTTCTTAAGAAACTAGTACTAGCTCATTAAATAAAGGGAAATACTTCTCATTAGTCATATGATTAATTTCTCTGATTTTTTTTTTACTTTTTTAATCTTGGATTTGTTAAGAGACTGTAGAGGCTCGTTGTGTGTTGGCACGTGGTTCAAAAAATTGGATATGACGAGCGTGGTTTTGGATTTTCATAGGAAGGCCACTGGCCACATGACAAGAGAGCCGTTTAAGCCGCCGTTAAATATGGATCATGGATGGAAGACAGGTTTTCCTCCGTCAGTGCCTGAGAAGTTGACGTCAATTGACAGAGTCAAGTGGGACGTTAGCCGCAACCGGAAATAAGCAGAAGACTCTCCACAGTCACATGCCCACACTAGCTCTTAACCTTCTTAATGGATTAATGCACACTTGCATCTTCAAATCATAAAAATACGATACATGATATTTATCTACAAGAATTTGTCATTGAATGATATAATATATATATGATCCATAAATTGTGTCTGCTTTGTTATGAGTGGTGAAGTCGGGACATGGGGCCGTGAGAGGGTAAAAGAAGTGTTGTATGTAATAAGAGAGAAGGGTGAGGAGAGACAGTGGCACGACGGTGGCTTTAGCGCTCTGTTTCTCTTATTTCTGCCGTCTCCTTTTCAAAAAGGTCCCACCCACGTTCCTCTTCTATCTCATTTACCCTTCTTGTCTCTATACTCATTGCTCATCAGATTTCTTTATTATATGCATTAAGAAATATTGGGCAAAATATTGTTTTCCAAGATTTCTTTAGTAAGCCTTGTTTTCCAAAATTTTGTATGTTTTATATTAACTCACAAGGTTACCTATGCTCGGCTTCGTTGCGTGAATAATGAATGAAAGAAATATATTAACTTTTGAAAAAAATTTAGTTACCACGATTAATCTAATGCAATTCAAAGCCCTCTAAGATTCAATTATTCCACGATTCTAAATCAAAACAAGGCTAATTTTTTAAACATCTAAAATATTATATTGATTAATAATTGAAATAACAAAATTTCTGATATGTATGATCTATTTTAAGCATATATTAGGAAGTATGCCGACAAAGAAAAAAAACATATATTGTAATGTAGACTGTAGAGTATATTATTTTAAGCCGACAAAGAAAAACATATATTATTTTAAGTATACTGTTTTAAGTTTAACTCAAGCTAAAAGACGAAATAAATTATTGGAAAAAGCGTTGTAAGAAAATATGAGAACAAGACGCAATGCTAAGGCCACGTCCAGAATTTAGCCGAACAATGGTATAGGCGGTACAGCTGACCAGTCAGGCACCACAACTGAATTTAAGAAAGAAAAAAAAAACAGTAAGTTTTTTTTTTTTGATAGGAATGTGAATATCATATATAATGAAAAGAGGTTTTACAAAAAGCTTAACCTAGAAATGTAAACTTGCCAAAAAAGAAATAAAAAACAAGAATTACAATCAGAAGTTGAGTGTCAATCAACTAAGAAAATTAGCGAATCCAACGAACCATAAGGTTCTTGAAAAGCTTTCGAGATCGCCTGGCTGAGATTGTGTTTCTCACCTCTTTGTCAATGTCTTTGAAAACAATTGCAGGAGAGATAGTGATCTGATTATGAAGTAGATTATTTCTCTGCTTCCAAATGTGGTATACAGCAGCTTGAGCCACAATTTTCCGTAGAATTTGTGGCGCAGAAACTGATTTCAGGTTTGTCCAGGCAATAAGAGAAGGCCAAGTGTAGAATATGCAAGGTGATAAGCCAAGCCTAACCTGGATAAGAGTCCAAATCTGCTCACTAAACCTGCATCTCAACAACAGATGATCTCTAGTTTCATCAAAGTTCGAACACAAGCAACAAGCTGAAGTTATTTGCAAACCCCAAGAGACGAGTCTTGTCCGAGTTGGCAGTCTATTCAGCTGGGCTACCCACATGGTGAATGCATTTCTTGGAGTGGCTCCTTTAAACCAAACAAAAGATAAAGAAAACAAAAAGCTTGAACAAAGACAATAACTCTCAAATGTTGTCAAATAAAAGAAATCGAATTATTGACATGCAAATCTAAAAAAAGGGAGATCCAACAGCTTCTTATAACTTTAGTGACAAAGAAAGCTCACACGATCCTCCTCGTAGCAACTCCACCGCATATCCATTGTATCTCGACCAAATGACTAAATCACCAAACTACCCTTTTCACTCATTGCATTCTACTCAAAAAATGTTCTCAAGACTAATTCGAAGTTTTGATTTATGGTTAATAGTTGAATTTTATCTTAATAATTAGCAGATCAAATAGTATATAGTGTAGGTGTAAAGACAGATAATGGGGATATGAGATCAAATGTCTCCATGAGTTGGCATTTGTGTTGAAACATTGACCATACATGTGGATATGATCATTGATCAACACAATCTTTTGTTATACTCTTTTAATTAACACAAATAACATGCAAAAGTTGTCTAATGTTTTATTTTGTCCACGACCATGCAAGAAAAATAAAAAAATAGCAGTAAAATGATGAATTTCAAAAAAAACAAAAGGAAATACGTTCATTGGCAGTTTGGCGTTAACTTGATAGTCTTCAATTTTCAAACATGAACAGGCATTAATGTTAATGTGTGAATAGTAACAATCGTCGAAATTAATTGTCATTAATATGTTTACTATCAAAGCCATATTATAAACATAGTTTAGAATGTCCAAAAGGTGGTTTGTACTAGTCTTAAAACTTTTTTTTGTTTAAGGATGATAGTAATCTGACGGCAGACAAAATCATTGAGAAAAGAAAGGAGTTTCCAGGAATAACCCTCTCTGATCTCTTCTGTAATCTCTCAGCTAAACCCCAAAAGAATGAGTCATGGCCCCACGTGGATACGTGAATCCACATCAGTGGCATAAATCCGTAAATTGTAGTAAAATCTAGAGGTATTTTCGTAGTTGGAATTCCATATAATCTATTGCTGGTTCCTCTGCCAATTTCCCATAATTTACTAAAATCTGTCTCTAGTCTCTTCTCTTTGCTTTGGTCGTCTCACAATGAAAGGAGGCAGCCTCACGTTTCTCCTCGTTCTCCTAATCGCCACCATCACTTCCGTCCTCTGCTTCAGCGACGGTAATATCACTTGCACATAAACATAGACATACCTTTATCATGTTTCAGTATATATGACTGCATTTGTAGTGACATATTTCGTTAGAAGCTAAATTCTGTTTGAGGGAATCAAAGCTCAATTCTGTTTACTTTCTATCCAAAATCTCTAATTAACGAGACATTTTAACAAAAACCACTAACGAAAAAAGTTTGGTTGTGACTTGTAATTAACAAAAATAAAGTAGTCTAGTGGTCTTAGAGTAATGTTTTGCACCCTAGTTTGAACCTTATTTGGAAAAGATGTTTGAAGCTTTTAATAGAGGATAGTTTACAAGTTGATCCCGAATTGAGGAAGAAGATAACGAACCTAGAACTTCCTCTGTAAACTCTCGCTCGATAACCAAAAAAAACAAATTGGACTCGGGACCATTGTGTTCGCTAATATTATTGTTTTTTTTTATCAATTATTATTGATATGATTTTGTAAGTCGGTCAAGACTCTAATTTACCTTTATGCCCATTTCTGACACAAACATTACACTCTGGACATTTTCAATCAATGACATAAAACTGGTCCAATTACGAAATTCTCTTTTATTTGCCGTCTTTAATTAAGACACATCCAAGTTTTTGTTTCTTTTGGATATAAACCATTTCCTCATAGTTATTCGGATCCATGTTGTTGTGTTTTTGTTCAAACCGTGAGGAAAATACTATATAGATAATAATACTATATATGAATATACGATGCACATATATAGTACATTAAACTTGTACATTATATGAGCTTTGAATCAAAATTATGTTCTTAATTGTACTGATGGCGACTTTTCTAATTCCAACGCAGGGATGTTACCGAACGGTGACTTTGAGCTAGGACCAAAACCATCGGACATGAAAGGAACACAAGTAATAAACAAGAAAGCAATTCCAAGCTGGGAGCTCTCAGGCTTCGTCGAATACATAAAGTCTGGTCAAAAACAAGGAGACATGCTTCTAGTAGTCCCGGCCGGAAAATTCGCAATCCGGCTAGGCAACGAGGCATCGATCAAACAAAGACTTAACGTTACAAAAGGAATGTATTACTCACTCACATTCAGTGCCGCAAGGACATGTGCCCAAGACGAACGGCTCAACATATCGGTGGCACCTGACTCGGGTGTCATTCCTATACAGACGGTGTACAGTAGCAGTGGATGGGACCTCTACGCTTGGGCGTTTCAGGCCGAGAGTAACGTGGCAGAGATCGTGATTCATAATCCTGGTGAGGAGGAAGATCCTGCTTGTGGACCACTTATTGATGGTGTCGCAATCAAAGCTCTATACCCTCCTCGACCCACCAATAGTAAGTATTCATTTATTATATGAATTGAGTTTGTATCTAGCTATTATTATTCTAAGAAAATCTTTTTTATATACCATGCAATGTGATCTGTCATGTTACAACTATATCTACTTGTTAACTCGTTATCGTTAGGCCTTAGGAGTTGACATTTGACAGTCTGGTTTGGTTTGTCAAAATTTCAGTTTGGTTTAGTTCAGTTTTGATAAAAGAATTTCAAATTAATCATTTTAAGTCATAAATCTATTTTTAATATATGTACTAACTTTTTACAACTTGTAAATAAACTTTTTGGTTTGGCTTATGTGATAAAGTACTTCTGTTTCGATTATAGTTTTGAAGATTTTGGCATGGTTGGATTCGATTTATATGTCCACTTAGAATTTAGTCATTTTGGTTAGAACATATTTCAATGGATCGGTTACATGAACATGTGTTAGCCAAGTTTTAGAACAATAAATTAATTGATATGGTTTTGGTATTATATAAAACAGAGAATATATTGAAAAACGGAGGATTTGAAGAAGGTCCCTATGTACTCCCAAACGCAACAACCGGCGTTCTGGTTCCTCCCTTTATAGAAGATGACCACTCTCCTTTACCTGCTTGGATGATCGAATCACTCAAAGCCATCAAATACGTTGATGTCGAGCATTTCTCTGTCCCACAAGGCCGCCGAGCCGTGGAGCTGGTCGCAGGCAAAGAAAGCGCAATCGCTCAGGTGGCTAGGACCGTTGTGGGAAAGACTTACGTGCTTTCGTTTGCGGTTGGAGATGCTAACAACGCTTGCCAAGGGTCGATGATAGTTGAGGCATTTGCGGGAAAAGACACTTTAAAGGTACCTTATGAGTCGCGAGGGAAAGGAGGGTTCAAACGCGCTTCTCTGCGGTTTGTGGCGGTTTCGACCCGCACAAGGGTTATGTTTTACAGCACGTTTTACTCGATGAGAAGCGATGATTTCTCGTCGCTGTGTGGGCCCGTGATCGATGATGTTAAGCTCCTCAGTGCTCGTAAGCCGTAAGATGACCATTGTTTTAATTTGAAAGTTGTTCGTATAAGCCAGTGTGTGGTTTTTTTACTATATATGATTTTCTTAATCTCTAATGCTTTTGAAATGAGATGAGTAATACTGAAAGGGTGTTGTGGACTTGTGGTGTAGGGTTTTTATATAAGGCAAAAAGGTCTTGCTTATATCTATTTTCTTGTATGAGAAGGCTGAAGGAATGTTGTCTTTTTTACTATCTTTGGTTCTTCTTCTAAAGAGATCGGGTGATTATGAGAATAAAAGTGTAATACATATTATAGAGAGGAATGAGGATATGAATTTGCTTTTTAAATTTAGGTTCGATCGGGTTGTTGTTAGTTTATTGTGTACTACCAATTCGTGTTAGGATCAAGTTTTTTTGAATCACACACTTTGAAATTGAACTGCCTTGAAATCCATGTTAGTAGTCGAAGCAATGGCCCAAATTTTATAAGTAAAGTTAAGATTGCAAAGTAACAAGAAAACCAGATTAAACACCAAGACTTAAGGGTTCGACTTGTTTAAACTCTACGAGCGTGGCAGCGGGCGGTTGCATTTATACAATTGGTATGTCGGTTAAAAACATGTACATTTATGGGATATTTCTGACTGTTTGCTAGAGGACACGTTAGATATAATTATCAAAATGACATAATGTATGTAATTAATGAAAAACACATAAAAAAAAAAAAAAAAAAAAAAAAAAAAAAAAAAAAAAAAAAATAATAATAATAATAATAATAATAATGAAAAACACCAAAACCCATATATATGTAACACAGTTGTTGCAGAGTTATCTGAATTGGGACTTCTTGAATAAATCAAGCTGAGAGGTTGTAAAATGTAATCAGGCTTTTCCATAGTCCACGAAAAACAAAAAGGCCCAATAGACTTTTTTCTATAGGCCCAATAGCCCAATATGTGGAATCCACGTCGAAACACACAGTTTCCTTTTATCACAAAGCAAAGAGAAGAGAGAGCTCCAGAATCCGTCTCATCCGGATTGGTTCCTCTCTTCTCTCCTAGGGTTTCTTCCTTTTCTCCGCTGAATCTCTGCATATGCATGCTCCGGTCGATACGAGGCGCTATTTTTTTTTGCTCAACCTTGTATTCAGGTATGTATCTCTGTCCGCCATTATCCGCGAGATGCGTCAATGTATCTATCTGTTCTTTTAGGGTTGAATCTTTTGGGTCTCTGGTCCTTATGTAGATACATCTTGTTGAAATTATCAGTCGTGTTAATAATTCAGTTATCTGTTGATTTGAATCTGTGTTTCTGGTGAATTTTCACGTTTCGTCATCCCTTTCGATTTCGATTTTCATGGGATTTTCTCGGATTCGGTTGTCTAATTGAGACCTCGAAATCGGTTTGTGGTGATTCAAGCATAGAAATTGATTCTGTAATTTTGACTCTTTTTCCGTTTGTTTACCTCGCAGCTGTTGAGGTGATTGTTTATGTCATCTAGAGCGTCTTTCTGCCGATTTGAAACTTTTAAAAGAAACAAACTTTAATGGAAATGGCTGAGTTAAATGGGTCCATGCAGCTAGCAGGAAAGCGCAAGTCACCGCCGGAGACTACTCTCGGTGGTTCTGCATCCGAGGCACCAAACAAGCAGTATAGACCATGGTTACAGCAAGTGTCTCCAGCAAGCAATGGGATTCTGCATATTCCTACTAATATGCTTTCTCAAAAGACACTACATTCACTGATGCATGGCAAGAAAGTCACGCAAACAGAATCCCCTCTCCAGAAATCTGTAAAGCCTGTTGTAAGCAAGAAACAGCAAATCCCACCGCAAAGGTCAGTGAAAGCGATGGATGAAGTAAATGAGTCGGTAAGGTCTAAAATGAGGGAGTCATTAGCATCTGCGTTGGCCTTGGTTCAGAAAGATGACGAATCTCCTAAAGGGAAAGAGAATATAGGGACTGCGGAAACTCCTGTGATTACTCAGGAGAATACTCAAAGTTTTCAGCCTGTCTCACCTGCTAGCATCAGTGTCCCTATTGGCGAAGGGACCATGTCAGAAATGCCCACCGGTGTCGAAAGTTCTGTGCAGAAGGACAGTGAGATTCCTGTCGACATCAGAATGGAAGATGTTAATCAATCTGATGGACTTAAGTCTCAATATGACGAGGTTTTCCCTCGGGATAATGTTCCTTTTACTGATATTATTTTTCCAAACGATGATCTTTTACATGGTAATGAACTCTCATGGGTTCTGGAACATGTTTCAGATCTTGGCGAGACGAAGGATTATGGAACCGGTGGTGAAAAGTCATTTCAGGATCCAAAACTTTTGGCATCTAAAATTGAAATGGAACTATATAAGCTATTTGGAGGTGTGAACAAAAAGTACAGAGAGAGGGGAAGGTCCCTCTTATTCAATTTGAAGGATAAGAACAATCCTGAGCTAAGAGAAAGAGTTTTGTCAGAAGAAATATCTGCCGAGAGGTTGTGTTCTATGACAGCCGAAGAATTGGCTTCTAAGGAGCTTTCTCAGTGGCGTCAAGCCAAAGCTGAAGAGATGGCAAAGATGGTTGTCCTGCAGGATACAGATATTGATGTCAGACGTCTTGTGAGGAAAACACATAAGGGTGAATTCCAGGTTGAAATTGAACCTATTGACAGGGGTACGGTAGATGTCTCTGGTGGCATCATGTCACGTAGTAAACGTCGACCCAAAGGCAAATCTCATTCTGTCAAAATCACTCTCAAAGATGAGGCAGCAAAAGCTGATAGTGAAAACTCACGCTCAACTCCTCCCTCAACTGAAGAGATTGATCCCATGCAAGGTTTGGGGATCGATGATGAATTGAAGGACGTGGAGTTTCTTCCTCCAATTGTATCACTGGATGAATTCATGGAATCTCTAGACTCAGAGCCTCCATTTGAAAGTCCGCATGGTAATTCTGAAATGCAGGTGTCTCCGTCTGAGAAAAGTGATTCTGAAGCTGGGTCAGACTCAAAATCTCCTAAGAAACCAAGTGATAAAAGTTTGCCTGAACCAAAACCAGAAAAGATTGATGAAGTGTCCCCGAAGCTTGATGACAACGTCAAAGTTGATGACGATGTCGCTAGACTTGAGAAAACATCTGCACTTAGTGATGATAAGGGAGAAAGAGCATGGGATGGAATACTGCAGCTGAGTATGTCTTCCGTAGTCCCTGTCACTGGCATTTTCAAAAGGTAAGTTCTTATCATCTAAACTAATATCTCACTTTTATTCGATTTTTGTGATACTGTTTTTTCCGGGCATTGACAGTTTCTTCTCTATGCTAATAGTAAATATTTCTTTGAAGATTGAATATTAGTAAACTGTTACTTGAACTGGAATTGTGTTAGCAGTCAATCTCTCAATTAGATGGTATTTAAATAAGCTTAAGAATAGATCTATGCTAGATTAATTGAAACATCAGCAAGCTAGGTAGTACCTGTGAAAAGTATAAAAAGAAGATGCTTCAGGTGTATCAGTTTGCATAGTGGTTTCAGAAATCTGTTTCTGTTCTTATTAGATATACTTGTGCAAAACCACCCGGGATATTTGTTTTGGTTCATATTTGTATTAAGATTATCCTCAGACCCTAATCTTTAGTAAGTAAGCATTCTCTGACTGGGTTTTCTATGGCAGTGGTGAGAAAGCAGAGACGAGCGAGTGGCCGGCGATGGTGGAAGTTAAGGGTAGAGTTAGGCTAAGTGGGTTTGGGAAGTTTATTCAAGAGCTTCCTAAGTCTCGAACCCGTGCCCTAATGGTATCCAAAGCTTTCTTTTGTTATCATTGTACTAGCATTACATTGAGTAATCTCTTGCTTCATACAAGAGTAGAAGTAGCCCTTTTACTTCTCTTATATATAATCCTTAATCGTCTCACTTTGTCCCATCTCAAAACTCTTCTGTCTTCTCTTCATGGAAAACCAGAAAGCAAAGAGATTACAATCAAACACTTCACATGTATGCGTCACAGGAATGGGGACACGTTTTATGCAGAGCATCAACTATAGATTTGGGTCATATTTTGTATTAAATCCATCCAAAAAAATGGATGCCAAATCAGTTTTATTATGTCTCTGTATGTGAGTTTCTGTGTCTGTGTGGGGGACATAGAATAATCAGGAAATCTTACAAAGAATCGATCGACCCCACACGCAAAAATAGTCAATTAAATTTTCATAAAAGGACTTTTTGGGGTAAATTTAAAGAGAATCTTTCGACAACACATACATGAAAGAAGAGAGAAACCTATAGTTATATGTTTTGGGTAAATTATTTTGAGGTATTTGTTTTCAAATTGGGGTTACTTATCTTTTTCTTCGGCATTGCAGGTAATGTACTTGGCTTGTAAAGACGGCATATCTGAGAGCCAGCGTGGAAGCCTTATTGAGGTAAAGAAATCAATTCAATCTTTTATAATCTATAACTTTTCTCGTGTACAACACATTTGAGAACATAACCATGTCTTTTATAAGGTCTCATCTTTTTTCTTCTTTTTGGTTAAGGTTATTGATTCCTACGTTGCTGATCAGAGAGTTGGCTACGCAGAGCCAGCCTCAGGAGTGGAGCTTTATCTTTGCCCAACACGTGGCGAGACTCTGGATTTGCTAAGCAAAGTCATCTCTCAAGAACAGCTCGATGAGGTCAAGTCTTTGGATATTGGATTGGTAGGAGTTGTTGTGTGGAGACGAGCCGTCGTTCCCAAGCCCGGTTCCGGATCTAGACGTCAGCATTCTTCTTCTTCTTTTCTTGGTTCTAAAACCTCTGTTTTGCCTGTAAACAAGAAGCAGAGAATGCATGTCACAGAGAAACCTCTTGTTGTTGCATCAATGAGAAATCATCATCATGGTTATGTGAAACATGATGCTGTTGCTGATGATGATGATGTGCCGCCTGGATTTGGTCCTGTGGCTTCAAGAGATGATGATGATTTACCGGAATTTAACTTCAATTCCTCGGTTGTGCCAGTTTCTTCTCCTCAGCCATTACCGGCTCAATCCAAGTCTTTGGATCAAGTAAGAAAGCTCATACACAAGTATGGAAAATCTGCAAGCATCAATTATGATGACGACGACGACGACATACCTGAATGGCAGCCACACGTCCCTAGCCACCAGCTTCCACCACCGCCGCCTCCACCTCCCGCTGGCTTCAGACCCGAGATATTTAGACCGCCTCAAGATGGTTGGTGGGATAATCAAAATGGAGGATCAGGGCAACACTATGAGCGGAACCAGTCAAGAAACAGAGGATTTTAATATCTCTGTTGATAGTGTTCTCTGTAATTGTAGTTTTTTGGTTTCCTAGTCTCTCTTTAGCTTTTCATTTTCGAAAACTTTCTTACCTTTGATTTGTAGCCATCGTAGAATCCAAAGCTCGAAGAGTCCCAACTTTTCAAATAAAACATTTCAGAGTTTTTCCTTAAAAAACAAAAATCAGCTTTGCTCTGCTCTGCTCTTAATACAACTTTCAAATGAACTTTGTTAAGACACGTTTGATTGTGGGATTCTGCTCAAATCTCAATCTTGTTTCAGCATCAAATTTAATCCGGAAATCATTCCACTTCTCTCTAGCACATAATTCGATTTTTCATCTATTATTACAAACACCAAATCACCTAGCATTGATTCAATTACTCTCGTTCCTTTGAATCCGGAAGTTTTTGGTTAATTTCTTCTATCCAGGGGCCGCTCGGCCCAGAGTTTAAGCCTGCAGGAACATTTGCTCTAAATGGGTGAAGCTTTCTTAAAAGTTAAAACTGTCCTAGAGGTGGAAGATTTCAGATTATTTCAGTTTACAAGAAAATAAGGATTCTCCTTTGTCAAGATTAGTGGTACCAATTTAAAAGATGATTGCATATCCCTTAACAAAATAAGGATTTTGGCATCACTAACAACTCAAATGACAGAGAAAATGGCACTATACCATAATAAACATATCATTATCAGTATTATTCATAGGAAAATCCAATCCACAGATGGAGCTGCAAACAAAAAGGGGTCAAAAGACCAGACACTAATCTAATCTGCCCAACAACAACACACCACTCAGATTTGAACTTCCAAAGCTATACATTTTCCAACTACTCACATATCATCATTTCTCTTAGATACCATCAACTTCATTGATACCATACCCCCATTACTGTACTTATTATGGGTATGCAAACCAATACAAAAAAAAAAAAGAAGCAAAAACTTCACAACTAAGGATTCATGAGATCAGGCCGATACAGGTGCATTAGGGATAACCGATGATGTCGATGCTGCAGCGACTTCAGTAGCTTTTGAGGTTGAAGGCCCTGTTTCAGAGATATCCCCAATATCAAGCGTCTCTGGGAGGTTTTCTTCAGATTCAGTGCTGTATATCTATATAGAAAGAGTGATCAAAATCAACACTTAAGATCATTACATCAAACAAAAAATAAATGTGGATTACATCAAACCAAGAATTCAAACAGAAAAGGTGACTAATGTTTATACCTCAAGCTGATTCAGCATCTCAATGGTTGCTTCAAGATCACCGCCATTAGCGAGGTATACATCAGTAATGGACTCTTGTGAGAGACCAGAGAAAGTCACAAGAAGGTATTCAATATCCATGTCAATATCCATCTCCAAATCCAAATCATCATCCCTGATCTGCTTGTAAGCCATTTCAGAGGATTTCTTCGGCATTGACACTTCAACGCCTGAGAAACTTATCTGCTGGCCCTGCGTGGGGGACTTTGCTGCAAACACCAAACCATCATCACCACCACCATAATCCATTCTTTTGGAGATTGGTACATACGATGCTGCATGTGGATTCAATGCAAATGCTCCTGGCTTCATTGCTTTTGTCTTGCCGATAAAGATACTGCCAAATTCAAATTGCTATTTCTATTAACAACAACATAAAAAAAATAAAACAGAATTTCGATATGAATAACATAACACAGAGTAAATAAGGAATCTATTGAGGATATGAAAAATAAGAAATGCATGCGGTTACATTAGAAACTGGCTTGCGTTGTTACTGCATGAACAAATTTGATGTCGGAAAACTACAGAACCAGAAGCAAAACCAAAGATTCTCGACAAAAAGGAAATGATGCGAAGAAGAGTGGATTATATGGAAGAAAAAACAAATGAAAAGACGGAATCAGATTGACCTCGTCAACGATCGACGTAAAAGGAGAAGAAGAAACGATTAATGAGGAGAGAAGAAAATGAGCTTACCAAACAAAAACTAGCGTTGAAGATCGCTCGAATAATTTGCACAGACAGAGAGAGACCTAAATGATGCGATTAATGTGGCTAAACCATTTATTTATGGAATTATTATCGTATAGATTAGTGTCCGTTTACATGATGGAGACCAAACATCACGATGGGGTTCGGTTGGACACACGTTTATGTTTATCCTTAACCGGGATACTGGCCGACCAGGTTTACGCATTGAAATTAATTCGGTTTACAGTTTGGTTTAGTAAACCGATTGATAACCACCGGTTTTGAAAGTATCAAAACAAAAGAGTGAATGGATGAGAGCTAAGTGAAGAAGCTCCAGGAACACGCCATAGCTATGGCTCTTCTCTGTCCTTCTCTTCCCTCTCCCAATTCTCGTCTTTTCAGGTATATTATCTTCTGTGATGTTTTATTTTGTGCTCGCGCTACTAGTTTTTGTTCTTCGAAAGCTTTTGTGATTTTGGATGAGATTGTTTTCAGGCGCAGGAGCAGCAACATTTCGAGTAAGTATCATGGAGAATCGAAGGAGCTGATGATTGCTCGTTCTGGTGTATCTACGAGATCAATTTCTTCCGAAAAAGGGCTCTCTCGTAGGGATTTGGTGCTAATTGGTCTCTCTTCTCCTTTGTCTATGCTCTTGCCACTGTCGTCTCCTGGTAATGCTTTGCTTGCTTCTATTGCTCATCTTTTAGTATCCTATAAATTCGGTTAGATAGTTTCAATTCTACCTAAAAATATTGGCTTTCATTGGTTAGTAGAGAGAAAGGAAGAGAATTGGTTCATGGAAGTAATTGAGAATCTTATGTACTTATCTTCTCATGTTTGTTCATTTTCCTGTAACGTTTGGGGTTCTGTTATTGCAGTCACTCATGCAGAAGAAGACTTGAAAATGGGTACAGAAGAATTGAAAATGGGTACAATGGTGGATGATATTAATGCTTATTCTTATGCTTACCCATTGGATTATCCATCTGAGAAGCTTGTCTTCAAATGGTATTGACTGAAAAGCTGTTGATGTAATGCTTCCTTTCAGTTCAAGGTGTATCTAACTCTTTTACATTGATTATGCAGGGTCGAATCAAGAAAGCCTGAACGTTACTCTTCAGCTGCACCACTCTCTCGTAAGTGCTATGCTTTCTTTTGATTCCATGAATTCTGGATGCATTAAGTTGTGACTGAATCTGTTTCAACTGGTCCAGCTGATGCACGTTTACGGATTGTTTCTGAACGAGTTGACCTTATCGACAACCTCGTCATTTCTGTTTCGGTAAGGGTGTTTCCCATAGCTGCTTCTCTTTGCTATCTTTCTCGCGATATGTCTTTTACGGTTTTTGATTCAGATAGGTCCCCCAAACTCAAGATTAACATCTAAAGAAAAGAAAACATGGGCCGCTAAAGAAGTTGCTGACTCTGTTTTGTCTGATAAATCAGCATTGGTAAACCCTTTTAACATTGAAACACATCACAATAACAATTTCTCCTTCTCTCAAACATTAAACATATTGTTTCAATGAGCAGCGTGTCACCTCAAGTCAGCGTCTCGAAGAGAGCTCGGTTCTCGATGCACATGCTACTGATGTAAGTATGATCTTCCACAACAAACCATAAAACAAAGTAAAAAGTTTGAATCTACAAAGCTCACAACCCTCATATGCTTACTACATATATGTAGATTGATGGGGAGCCTTACTGGTACTACGAGTACCTTGTCCGCAAATCACCAACCAAAATCGTAACTCTTTCTATTCCAAGCAGATTCCTCTTGTTTAAAGACTTAAGGGTTTGATTATGATCGGACTTATTGTCTTTGCTATGTTATGTGGGCAGGCTGAAGCATCAAAGCTTTACAGACACTATATTTCTTCAACAGCTGAACGTGATGGTAAACAACTTTTCACAAGAACTGATTGAGATGCAAAGTTTAGAGTTTGTTTAGCCTGATTTAAAGTAATAACATTTACCTGAATCTCACTCATTGCAGGGTACTTATACACCATAAACGCTTCAACTCTTGGCAAGCAATGGGACAAGGTACAAAACCTGTAACCTCTACTTTCTGTACATTTATTGTGTCAGTGTGAAGATGTCTGATTTTGAGGGTTTGCATAAAATGCAGATGGGACCGGTGTTAGAAAGAGCAGTAGGATCCTTTAGGCTTCTTCCTCCTACTGATAGTTATGTTCCTCCATACAAGGATCCATGGAGGTTTTGGTGATGCTTCCATCTATCTACCTCAGCATCTCACCAAAAATACTTTTTTCCGAAATTGTTGTTAATTTTGATAGGAGAGGTTATGAAAGATGCAGTGGGAGAAATGAGCGAAGCAAAGTAATTTGTCCAAATCTGAAAATCTTGTTCACAATCAAATGTATTGAGATGGAGATATATATGTATAACTTGCATTCTTCTTCTAAACTCATCCCAACTGGTATGGTATCCAAGGAATTTTTATGCGTATTAAATCAGAGTTTTTGGGACAAATTCAGATTTTACTATCATATGATATATACACAAAGGGAAAGAACAAAAAGGTGGACAACTTTCTTCTTCATAGTACCTCCTTTCATGGACTTAATACATTGACCACTGACTCCTTTAAGATTTTCAAGGTAGCATCAAAAATTAACAAATGAAAAAGAGATAACCGGAGGGGAACCACATAAACCGGCTTCTACCCTCCTCTTATATAAGTTAAGATTATCATATCTGAATATATGAACCATAATTTAAATATCCATAACAAGAGACATAGTTCCAATCAATCACCCACCAAAACCATGAGAGATGAGACCAAAAGTATTTTTTTTGTTAGGTAGCAGAAGCACAAGCAATATACAAAAATGATCATCCATGGCCGCCTCGGTTTAAATAAACCAACAGCTCTTTTTCTTGAACAGATGATCAGCTCAAGCTTCTACTTTTCCTCTTTTCATGGACTCAAATCGATCATGGAAATGGTGGGAGCATTGGATTCAGCCCACGGTGAAGAACACACCGTTACTCTTCTTCTTAGACAGGTCCTTCTCTGAAGACGAGGCAGACTTGATTGCTTCTTCTTTTTCTTCACCCTCCATTTTCTCATCCCGATCTATCTCCTTTGAACGGCACTCACTACTGCAGAACGCTTTGTATCCACTGAAAACCAAAACCATGACATTGATATTTAACAAGATATTCACTTGTGATCTCATTACATTTGGAACGAAGCTATGCAGTTAAGTAACGAAGTACTGCAAAGAACCTAAGTTTCCATTTCTATGATTAGGCTTTCATGTTTTGGATATTAGATTCATGCAAGGGAGTTTCTCTTGTAGGCTCAAAAGTATCGAAAGTTCAAGACTTTATTTTAATACACACCAATGCAAAGAGAATAGAGGACCAAGTCTAAGTGCACTAGTGTTGAAGGAGAAGAAGAGAGTACCTGTACATGTATATATCTTTCCCCATAACCAACTTCTTGCTACAGCCGTAGCAGAAGCTCAAGAAGTCTTTGGGAGGTAACACATCAACAGGTGTTGTCAAGTCGAGAGGAGCAACTGCAAAAATGCTCTCTTTCTTGTTACTGCCACAACGGTTCTTCAACTCATTGTTCTCTACGGACTCCAGAACCTGATCCCCGTAAAAATGGGTGGTTGTGGGGTTAGGACCATGAGAAATAACACAAGTGTAGTCCTCTGAGATCTCAATGTCACTTCCAGTGCCCCCATTAAGTGATCCTGGGGCTTGCTTGATCACCTGACAAGCATTGTTGTTCACACTGAAGTTCCCAGCACCGGAACAGTAAGCAGCATCGACCGAGCCAGATTTTCGAAGCTCAACCACATCAATCACATCTTGTCCAATCTCAAAAACAACATTGGGAATATCATTCTTGGGCATCAGAGCTTTGGCAAGGGGTTGAGAGAGTAGAAGAGGTTTCTGACATTTGGGGTTGCCACTTCTCATCAAGGACCCAAAGATTATGCTTTTACTATCCGGTGATGGGAGAACAATCCTTGATGATGAATCAGTGTGATGATCAACAAGAGAATGAACAATGCTCAAGCCAACTTTACCAGAATCCCAGCTCTTCTGTTTCCCTTTCCAGATTGACCTCAAAGAAGAAGAAGAAGCACCAAAAGGGTTCCCTAAAGTCGAGAACAATCTGAAATCCAAAGGAGAAGTTGGGCTCCAAGCTGATTCACAATCAGATAGAGACTTTCCTTCAAACAAACTAGAGATGAGTTTGTGGCTCTTAGTTCCTGACATGACCGGTTTTGTCGAATAGTAATCAGAAGCAGTGGCCATTTGATAGTTGGAATGCTGAGACATGATTGATGATCTGTGTCCTCAAAAAACAAAAAAAAAGAAGCAAAATGTTAGCTTAAGCAATGATCCAATGTCCATAGCATAAAACAAGAGTTTAGTAACTCATAAATCATAATGTGAGAATAAAAAAGCAAGCTTTGGTATTTAATAAGGAAAGCAACAATCTTTGGAACCCAGATAAGGAAAATCCAAAAGGGAAGAAGAATCGTCAATACAAAGGAAAGGATCATCCAAAGAAACATATCATCAGACCAGACAGAGAGATTACTTAACAACATATAAACCAAGAAGAGCTGAAAAATTATATAAATTGAAAACTGAAATCTGGGAAATTTCTCAGGCTATTGCTAAAGAATATTCAAAGTAGAACAAATTGAAAGGAAAAAAGAGAGACCTGGGTTTTGCAGGACTTGTTCTTCCTTCTGAGGTAAAGTTGAAGAAGAAGGAGAAGAAGAAGCAAGAAATTGAAGAGAAAGAAGACAATGAGAAGTATTTCGTCTATATATCTGTGCAAGTCTTGTGAGGTACTCTTCTCTCTCTCTCCCCTCAAAATCAGCGTAGCAGTGAGCTTCTCAGTCTCTCTCTCTATCTATTGGATTCACGTTTTAAGTTCTCTCTGGAATGGTAAGTAGTAGAAAAAAACAAATTACCTTCTTTGAAATATTTAATTTGCATTAAAGATAAAAACAACTATTAATTAAAGATTTTATGGTAGGAGATTTTTTAGTTTAAATGGCGGAGGAAGTGTGACAGAATAAAAATGATAGCACTTCTCTGACCAAATTCTTTTCTCTTTTGTTTGGCAGATTTGGCTCTTTTAGTTAATTTATTCGGTTCGCTATTTTTTTTTTGTTAACTTTTTAGGTATGTTGTTTATATGAATGAATGATGAATTCAGAATTTTCTATTTTTTTCTACTTGTATTTGGTTTATTTCGAACTTTCTATAAAACTTAGTTCTCTCGTTATATTTACAATCGATTTGACAAAGAAGTTTTTTTTACGATCGTTTCATTAATTAGACATTCTAAAAATCGATCACTGTAATTAATTGTTATAACTTCAGTTGTAGTTTTTTTAATAAACTTCACGACAAAAAACTTATATGGATTAAAGTACACGTCGATTTTTAGTAGATCGATAAAATAAAATAAAATTATCATTTTAATGATTTACGATCGATCTGACAAAAACAGATTCTCAATCGTTTTATTAATCAAATATTTTTAAAATCGATCCGCCGCATATAGTTATTGCAATTTGGAAAGTAAGTTTTTCGTTATATAAACTTCACGACAAAAACGATTAATATAGATCGACAAAAACAATTAATATAGATTAAAAGTACACGTCTGTTTTTTGTAAACCGATGAAATATATTTTACTATTTGGTATCGATCGCAAAACACCAATATAAAGTAAACATATTTTATGGTTTTTGTACTTTGGATGTAAGAAAACATTTAGTGAAAATTATAATCATCTACTGGAAAAACAATGTATGTTCATCATTAGAATTCTGTAATTTTATTTTTTATTAATGCTTTCAAAAAATTTTCCTTTTTAAATAGTGTGTTGTTTATAATATATTATGGTGCTTGGTAAAATTATGAAAACAGTTTATTTATTTTTTATATCTTGCTATAAGTATATTGAATTAATCGGTTAATTAATTTACCATTAAAGTGTACTTTTCTAATTAATCTACATCCCTTCCATTTATTAATTAAACAATTTAAAAATATATGAGTGATCCGCCACATTATTCTTTAGAACATAAATTTCCAATTATAAAACTTTCACAAGATTTACATTTATTTAAATAGGATACATCCGATTTTTGTAGAACCATAAAACTAAAATAAGATAAAAAAAAAAGAACTATTTTTGGAAATTTTTTGACTCCCCCTCTTATTTTGTGTGAAAATACAATAAATATGTCAATTTAATAACTATTATCTTTCAAAACTTAATATGTTTTTTTTGGGAAAAATGTCATTAAAATCCCCAATTTATTGAAAACGTTGATTTAAATCCTCAACTCTCAACGAAACGAAATAAATATCAAACTTATGTTGATTTTCTAAATAAATACCAAACTTTCGTTGATCTGGCCATAATATTAAACATGACGTTAAGTAGGTGAACAGATCCTGTTAACGGGGTTAATTTTTTGTTAACAAAACCGTTAATTGAAAACGACAGTAATCCCTCTAACAATAAAACGACGTCGTTTTATTTTAACTCTTTAATAAAATCCCGAGTTTCAAATCATATGAAGATTTAGGGTTAAGAATTTTGCTCGGTTTTGAGATTTAAGATTGAATTTAGAGATTTAGTTCAATCGTTACGACAAAACGACGTCGTTTTATTGTTATAGGAAACGATGTCGTTTTCAATTAATATGTATGTTTTTTTTTTTTTTTTTTTGATAATTGAATTTAATATGTATGTTAATAGATAATTAACTCCGTTAACGGGATCTGCTAGCCCACTTAACGTCATATCTAATACGGCCAAGTCAACGAAAATTTGGTAATTATTTGAAAAATCAACATAAATTTGATATTTATTTCGCCGGAAATTGAAGATTTAAATTAACATTTTTAATAAGTTGAGGATTTTAATGACTTAATCCTTTTTTTTTTTTTTTTTTTGGGGTGAAAATCACATTCTCCTTTTGTACTCTCACCCTTTACGTCACTTTTTTTTTTGTCCAAGGATCCTAATAAGTGTCACTTTCATTTCATTATGTAGATAAAAATTATATCATATAATAATAGTCAGTCAAATTTTATACTGTTTGAAGATTTATAGTTGTTTGTTTGTAAGAACACATTAACTCAGGTAAATTCCGTAGACTGTTTTGTAAGAACATGTAAAAGATTTTAGAGTAAAAAGTTAATTTTTCTTTTCAAAATTTATCTGTGGTGAATTCATATATGGTCAGTTCTTGTCTTTTTTTCTTCACATCTTTTTCTCGAGAGTAAATTGTTTTTTTTTTTTTTTGTATGAATGATAAATTGTTTTTTTCCTTGTTGTTAGATAATGGTTTTTCGCTAACGTTGAATAATGGTTATTTATGTTTTACGTATAATGTATTTTCTCTCTCTCAAAGTCCCAGTTATGTCGACATTATATAATTATTAAGGTGTCAGAATGTACAAGAAATATTGAAATTACGGTTGGTTTAAAAACCAAATTTAAAGAATCCCTACAGAGCAATTATATTTTTTTGTCCTTTTTCTTCCTGTGGTCTACTTTTGCTTTTTAATTATTTTGCTTTCCTTCTTTAATTTGCTTTCACCATTAAACCATGTACGTATTACCAAATTTTATTCTAATTGACAAAAAAAGAAAGACATTTCTTGGCATCTCAAAATCTTTCTCATATCACATCATCTGTATTTGTTATTTTTGTTTCTTGTTAGTTGTTATATATGTTACACTAAAAATTATGGTATTTATGTTTTCTAACAACCATAGTTTCTTAATATTTAAAACAACAGTAGAAATCCCTTCAAATATAAGAAACTCAAAAGCAGAAACAAAAATCATAAAAATAAAAATCAAACAAATTTCGGCTTTAATTTTGATTTTGCCTTGTCGTATATATATTTTTTTACTGTATAATTTTAGTAATCAAATTTACATGAATTAGTTTATATATCTTTCACTAATATCAATGTATATATTCTTTCAGATTCTAGAAATCATATCCTCCAAATCTTACATGAACTAGTGGGGTCTAATCCAATCTAGTAATACATCAAATAATTATGTTAGGATCCGATCAACGTTTTGATGTTTTAAGAAAAGAAAAAAAATCAGGATCATTTCCTTTTTGAACCATATATGATCTACCCTACCAAGGGTCACGCTAGATATATCAAACATTGTATTGTTGCTTTCATTTGGTGGTTAACCGCAATCCGCAAAATGGTCTGCAAAAGAGTCTAGCTCAATAATATAGTAATGCAAAAAAAGAATAATAAAAATCTGTAACACGTTGACGGTATGGTCTGCAAGGAAACGGTCACTTTACTAATTTGCAAGTAATTAACACAAAAGACACTATAAAGTGAAATGAAGAAGAAAAGAACAAAAAATCTGTAACACGTTGACGGTCTTCTTCTGGTCTGCAAGGAAACGGTCACATTAAGCGGATGGGTTTAAGAGCTAAGAAGACCTAAGCTTTTTTAGTCATCATCCTATTGACCGCCAATGCTCTTTGTCTGCGTGGAAGTCTCTCTATTCGCCATGTGGACACGAGTCACCGTGACCTGACCAGTGAACCATAGTTAAACACATCTTTAGCCATCATTACTTTTTTCTCACTTATTTGTCGTTTTCTGCTGACTCAGATTTTCCCTTTCTATTATTTCATGATGACACGTGTAATGTCCGGTTTCTCCTTCAATACGGTGCGTTTTGGTCACACAACCTGCATTCTGTTTTTTTTTTTTCTAAATTAAATTTGTATACGCCTTCCAAAAAATTCCTTTTGCTGTATTTTATTACAAAAATAAATAAATTATACAGTAGACCAGGCGAGACTTTTCAGAAGATTTGGTGCATATTTATTAGTGTGTAGTGTGTCTGATAATTCCTAATTACTTTAACATATACCCTTTTCAGTTTTGGATCAATTATAATCAAGGCTGATTATTAGCAGTGATCACACCTTTCTGGTTGCTAAAAATATTGGAAGCAGGAGAAGGAGATTGTCGTGGAGAATGTACCTTCATATGATGTGTTGTCGGTGATTACCTTTTTCACCACATAAGTATCAACCAGAGGCTTGTAACCTTGTACTCTTAAAATTGCATTATAATTAACTACTGGCTTGTAACCTAGTACTATTAGTGAAATGAAGTAATTTTATTTTATTCTTTGGCGCGGCCCACTTAGGGAGCTAGTAAGACCCACATTCAAGAGGATATGGGAGGAGTTGAAACTCTTTTTCAGATGTCAATAAGACGGGTTAAGTGGTGAAACAACTGGTAGGCTAAAAGGAACTTTGTTTAAAAACCCTGGATTCTACAACTACAAGTCACAATTACTCTCTTGAACCTTTCCTGATCAACACAAAAGTTTAGCACTTCACTAGTGAAACTGACCCTTACAAAAAATATTTAACTACAAAAGGGTCGTCCGATTGAGACCAGAAGCCGCATCAGTATATTCCTCCTAAACACAAGCAAGAAACAAAGAGCACAAGTGATATTATTCATCTTTTCTTGCATATTTGTTTTTAATAACATCAAGAAAACAAAATCATAAAGAAACTAGGCGTTTACCGAGTCAAAGTTGGTGGATTCGATGGCACGAAAATATTTCTACAATACCAAAATTCTCGAGTCACTGTCTTTAGAGGCCAAAAGAGAGCTTGTGCTAATCTACAGTTGATTTTTCTGTCTGAAGCAAAGAAAGTAAGTGATCATTTGGTTCTTTTAGATGATAGACATGTTCCTCGAGGGGAATAAGAGCTAATACTTACACGAGAAAGACAAGATGATTCTGAAACTAAGGAAGTTTCGGCTTGAAGTTAATCCGCAGCAACTTCATCTCCTCCAATTGCCGCTACAAGGGTTTAAAGATTCAGTTATTCTAAAGGATTTGAAGCACACTTTTTTTCCTCATTTTTCCAAACAGAAACTCATGTTTTCAGTAAATAGTGGCAATAATCGTCTAGACAATCTAATTACCTTAGATACACTTTCAGACGCCTGCTCGTGTCTGGCTTGGTGCAAACACCATTCCATGGCCATGTCAAATTCAAGGTTGTTCGGCTGAGAACAATGTGATGTAGCCACAGCATCTCTCTGGAAAAACATATAAAGACCAAAGAGCAAGAAGATTAGTAAAGGAACAATGCATTTTTACTTGTGTGCACTGTGCAAGGGCAAGGGAAATGAAAACAATACCATCTCTCGTCGCGTTTGAGTTTTGTGTAGTTTGATATGGCCTGAGAATGATGACGGTTTCCCTGGTGGAGTAATCTTAGCGAAAGAAGCAACAAGGGGCCTGTTGAGCAAAAAAGGCCCAGCACAGATTTCTGAGATGAAAGTATGCCAAAAAATGGCACAGTACAGATCTCTGCAATTTATCATAGGAAGCTTAGAACAAAAGAAGAATATGTCATGCGAGGTTTACCTCCCACTTGATAGCAACAAGCATCCCTCATCTAGTCTTCTAATCACCCTTTCTGCAACTTCTCTTGTTTTGAAAATGACCAAAGCTTCACCTGTATATCAAACAATATGAGATGCTCCTCATTCCGTTTATAGTATGTGAGAACCATAAATTTAGAAGCCCAGTGAGTAAAATGGTAGCTTACCAACATGAGGAATAGTGACTGATGTACGCTCAATCATCCTCGCTTCGCATTGCTCGTTCAAAGCAGAATAGACTATATCCTGAAATACAAATTTCTTAGGTTACATACAAGGAGGAAAGAAGGGAGGTTTCCATTAAGTAAATCAGGAAACTACTGCATTACATAAGGTTACATTGAGTAAGCATATACAAAATACATTTTAAGAGACTCCTAAATAAACTGTAATACCTCCACTTCATCAGATGTATAAGTAGGATCCAAGTTTTGAAGAAGTACCACAGTCCCTTTCTTTTCTGCCTCCCTCATACTTTCTTCCCAAGGCTGGAACATAATTCAAACAAATTAAAAAGTCAGTCCAGAGGTAAACCCAAGAAGTAATTTCTGATACGACGTACAGAATCTGATAACCATCCAGACTAGCTAAAAGAGTCTACAATGGCCAGCCAAACAAAAAACAGGTGCGGATAGAAAATAAACAATTTGAGTGCAGATTTCAAAGTAAACAACTGAATCTCTCGAACATAGAAACGATCAAGAAAATATACTACTTTCTGATTAGCATATGAACGAGTCGTTAACAATATTAACAGGTCACTCTACTAACATCATAGAACAAGCATGTCAAACACGAACCTGGAGGCAACCAAAAGCGACATTTACAGAACTAGGGTGCAAAAAAAAAGTAAGGGAAAGATACTTACAAGACTCCGGAACCATTTACTTTTTCCCTGAAATAAATAAGGAATCAAAAATCTGTTAGATGAGCCTCAATGTTAACAAGCACTGTGGTAACATAATAAGATGAGAAGAATGACAGAACATCACTACAACTCTACAACATACAGTGTGAAGGACTGTAAAACAAAACTGCTCCTTTTAGAATTGTGTTCTTGCAAAACCACATCCTTGCATCTAAAGATTTTACAACACGCTCTGAAATCTCATGAAACAGCAAGTTCCAAACTAATGTAAACTAAATCATGTCGGAGGAAACGTATAGTAAGTATAAACTTACAGCATCCGGCCTTCGGCACACTTCAGTTACTTGATAGTTTCTTTCATTATCATCTGCCAACATCTTGTCTTCAGCACGACCAAAGCTGGGCTTCTTGGATAAACCTTTTTCAGTTACAGTTTTTGTAGTTTTTCCTTCAGATACTGACACTCCCAGATCCCGCTTCTTAACAAAGCTGCGCTTCTCGGGAGGGACTTCCTCTATAGTCACTTTGTCTCTAGGTCTCTTGAAAGATCCTGTATCCTTTTTACCATCAGAAGTAATGTTCTGCAAAAGGGTTGTATTCCGTCCATCTGGTACTGTAACAGAACCATCTAGTTTCTGTTTCTTCAGCGGCCTGTAATCCAATCCACTTGACTCTTTACTATACCTTTCTTCAGCGGGCATAGATTTTTGTTTAGTCAACTGTTTTTTAACATCATTTACTTGAGCTTTCCTGGAAGTGGAATGAATAATCCTGGAACCAGAAGCTTCAAAAGAGTTACTATATCTTTCTTCTGCTGGCATAGATTTTTGTTTAGTTAACTGTTTTTTAACTTCACTCTCTTGAGCTTTGCCATCAAAATGATTTCCCCTAGAGCCAGAATCCTTGTTGGACCTTTCTTCTGCAACTGTAGCTTTTTTTGTAGCCAGTTGATAGTGACCCTTTTCTTTCTCTTGAATGCAACCATTACTGCTTTTTTTACAGTCAGAAGATTCAAAATGGTTGTCTTCAATTTTCCTACCTGAACCACTAGCTAAAGGACCATTTGGTTTCAAACTATCTGAATTCCCATTTACGTCTGCTTCAATATTCTGCGCCGCAGTTGCTTCTTTCTCAGAGCACGCTCTGTTAAAGATAAATTTAACTGCAAAAATTAGAGTGAAAAGAGATATGATGTAAATAAAGAATCAAGATAGCTACTGATCACATAGTAGAATGTTGAAGCTATCAACTGAGATGAAACAAATTGTACCATCAACTCCAGCTATTTTATCATCAATCGTATCCACAACTTTGCAATGCTTAACATCAAATGATCGGCGAAACACGAAGTCTGCTGAGTTGATTTTTTCATCCGAGGGTTGAGGATTTCTTTTGTCCTTTGAAATGCATAGAACAGAGCATTTTCCACCGATTGCTTCCTAGTGGAATAATGTTATATCAGTATTTAAGCAGGTGTAATTTACTAACTAATCCCTGCACCAGCTATAAGCACAATGGCACATAAAGTTCAAACGAATATTTCAATCAAAAAGTGATGCAAAGGTAAATCTATAGAGACACATGTTTGATTCATCATCGAAAGACGCTTGCAACAATAATATAAACCAACAAAAGAAATTGATAAACATATTTCTGTTAGGGGATCTTCAGAAGGGAGAGCGGCTAAATATACCATAGCTTTTTGTCTTGGGATGAGATCTGTGTAAGGGTTACAAAAGAGGACAGAAAAGCTACTTGGAGCACATATGTTGGTGAACAGAGAACAAGTTATCCTAACGCAAAGAAAATAATATTCAACAAAACAAAAGTGGATGGACAATATAATTCAGTACGCAGATATGAGATACATAATGAACGCCAAGACATGCTCAACAAGTAATATGGAGAATAAAAAATTCAACATAGTATGCAGAAGAATAATTAGTTACCAATAGGTTGGTATTAGCGAGGCCAAGACCTTCACCCGATGCTAAAAAAAGTTCATTGGCAAGTACATCTGGGACTCCTTCAAGATATGGCGCAATCTCAGAAGGTTTAAAGAACCAAAGAAGCTTGACTTTTCTTGGGATATGCTTATTAGCGTGTTCCCAAATTTTTATGATCATGCCAATGAAGGGTTCAGTAGAGTCTGGACTGGCATCACCAACTAAGACACAGTCATAAAGACGGTACTCATCGCCATCATAGATGAAAGATTCATAGAATTGGACATCTTTCTTTTTCCCACCAACACCTTTCTTTTTACCCCACTTAAATTCTAAGCCTTCAGATGCTACTACTGATTCTTCCATTCTCTAGAAAGCAGTTTTCTACCTGAGACAAACAGCAGAATAGTGCACCCAAGTCAGAATTGCACGAGGAAATGATTAGAAGACTGAACATATATCCGCACTCGTTCATTTAAATTGATGCAGTTCCTGATAGAGTAAAATAGTTGCATTGATAAATCGAAAGGAATACAAGAATTCCCACAGGAGATCAACTCCTTTTCCAAGGATAACCGAGAGTACTCTTGAACAAGGTGCAAAACTCTTCATGGACTGATTAAATACTAACACCAAAAGACACATAAAAGGAAAACACCATCACAAGATAGATCAAAATCAATCAGTCCCATGAATCTCTCTTGATATTCAATCAATTATTTACCATATACCCCAATCAATCACTCCGGAAACTCTATCAGACCCACAGTTAAAGAAGGCAACACATTAATCTTTCAATTGAAATCATTAGCATTGTGCATAAAACCAAAAACCATCCAATACATTCTAATAACCAAACCATAAGAAACTTATTAGTATTCAATACTCAAAGTAATGTTTAGTAATGACAAGGCTCTCTAAAAAGCATGCAAGTCCAGAAAAAAATAAAAATCAAAAGCAGAAAATCAGTTGATCCACGAAAGAAACTCAATGAACAAAGAACACTAGATAGAATAGTAGATAATCGAGTTCGAGTCAACAAAAAGCCGATTTAAGAAAATCAAAAGATCAACCAAACTACGCAATTGCAAAAAAAGTGATAATATCATTTACGCAATGTAGGTTGAGATAAAGCTTTTGCGTTCGTGAAAAAACAACGATTAAAACAAAGAAGACGAAGTCCTTTCAACTTTTTTGTTACCTTCACTGAAGAAATCAGTTTACAGTTTCCGAAGCCACCGAACAGCAAAATCGAACCCTAGCGAAATCAGAGAAACGCGAGTTCGATTAGGTCAAGATGAACAGAAATTGACGAAGCCCAGGTTTATCGCAGAGGGAGAAAAAAACCCTAATTCCTCGTTTCACCAGTTACTACTACACTAGTTCTTCCTCTCTCTCTATCTCTCTCTCCCCACTTTATCTCTCGCTCAAGTTCATCATAAACAAATTCAAATCAAAATCTCTATGGAGCAATTCAATTTTGGTCGAAGATTGTTCTTGTTGTTGCAGTTTCCAGAGAGACCGGTAAGTTCATGAAAGCTTTTCTCCTCCCATTCCCTTTCTCTGAGATTTTCTCTGTTTACTTACTTTTTTAAAAATGAGTTGCACAAAAGAAACAAAAATAAATAATGATTAGGTCTAAAAAAATACATTTAAATTGAAAATGCACAACATAAATCCATAATTTTGGAGAAAATATAATTGACCAAAGATTTTTACCCCCAAATACTACAATTCTTTATTTTATTTTTTCTAAATAATAATTTTCCAATTTTTGACACATATGTGAGATACGGTCTGATCATACTAACCATTATTATATAAATAGACCAAAAACAAGATCATGGAATTTAATCATATCTACGTACTCCAATTTCTGAGCTTAAATCATAAATTTGTTTAGAATTATCCCTGATAAATTAGTTGTGATATAAATGCTAGATCCCTCTTTTTGCTCTGGACTCTAGTTGTTTTGATATGACTCAAAATTCAAAATCATGGAGTTGAGAAATCTCTTGTTCTTCTAATGACTCGTGTAAATGGTCACACGTTATTGAAAGATGGTATCTTTAACAAAGCCATGGACAAGCTTCATGAGATTTTAACATCAGCGAATATAAGTTCATGCATTTGCTATTTACTGACAAAACATATTTTATAAGGATTCAATACGTTTTTTATAGTGCCATCTTTTCCCTTTTGTTCACTGGTAGTTTCGTTAGTAACACATCATTTTCAAACAAACAAATGATAATAGTCACTTTTTCAACCAAAAAAACACAAAAAAATGATAATAGTCTATTATAAGTTTCACATTTTACAGAGATGAATCAACTGATTGTGCTTCTTCAAGACCACCATGAGTCCTCTTTTTCAAGTCAAAACCTCTTCTTTTCTCGAATTTTTTCTCTACGTGATTGTCCCCATTCACCAATGCATATTTATCACAGTGTCTTATTGTTGAATGTGTTTTATTTTTTCGGAACACCCATTACTCTTTAGTCTTTAGGCAACGAAGATCAATGTCAAGAAGTTAAAATATCAACTTTTCCACTTTTCAGATAAAAGGGATAAAGAATAATATTTGTCTTCATTAAGGTCTGAACTTAAAAATGTGTATTATATAAGAGTTGGGCTTAGGTGGACGAGAAAAGAAAAAAAAAAAAGAGTTGGGTTTAAGGGGATACTGGGCTGCTTCATCTCTTGTTGTAAAACGAAACGGCGTCGTTTTATGTTTCTCAGAATTAAAAATGCGGTGAGCGTGGATCGAACACGCGACCTTCAGATCTTCAGTCTAACGCTCTCCCAACTGAGCTATCCCCGCTAGATGTTTTAATTATCTGTATTGTATTATATAAAACCTATATCTGGGGATAATTTTGTTGATTTTGTAGATTCAATTAGAGGCCGAAAAATACACGAATACAAAAACAAAATCTCAGCGTTGCATTATTCAAAAACAGTGCCCAAATAATTCGTACACTAACTGTTATTTTTGTTGTTTTACACTAACTGTTATATAAGTCTCCTCCTTATAAAAGAAAATATGGAGAAGTGTGGTTTGGGTTCTTAGTGTTTGAGCCAGTAGTTTCTTAGCTGAGCCATATGCAACAATATCTCGTCCCGACCTTGATTCGTCACACTGCTGGTCATAATCCATGGTGGTGTTGTCTCAAAGAACCCTTGGATCAAGTCTTGGAACTCCTTTATGTTCTCCTCCGGTTTCTTCCCTCCATTTTTCTTCTTCTTTCTCTTGTCGCATTTTGTGAATATCAAAGTCATTGGAACCTGAGATAGAGACATGACATGATTAGTGAAAGTCTTGATCATGATTACCAATTAATGGGTTTATGTGGGTTTTTTAAGGTTTAGGTCCTTTAATACCTGGTTTTGACCAAGCCAGCTTGCGTACTCGAGATCGATTGGCTTTACAGGAATGCTGGCATCAACTAGTAAAAACACTGAGACCAATGTTGATCGATTTAGGAAATAGTCTTTGGTGAATTTGTTCCAGTCTTGTTTGAGTTCATGCGGTGCTGATGCATACCTGGATATATAAAATGCATCAACTTTCATTTTTTTTAACTGAAAGTCACCAAAATTCCCCGGGACAGAAACTGTAATTGTATCCGACAAAGACAAACAAAAAACTAGGAAAGACAGAGAAAGGCCAGAGCAGTTTTAAGGGGCTATGGCATGAAAAACAAAATAATATCACTTAAACTTACCCGTAACCAGGCAAATCTACCAAGTACCACTTGTCGTTGATCCGGAAATGATTAATGCATTGCGTTTTTCCTACATGAAGAATAAATTCCCAGAAGTTATAATCGACCTACATGTAGCATAAGTACAAGCACGGCATGGATGCCTATCAGTTTCCACTTCTAAGATCGCGTCTATCAATCTTTCTAAGTAGTTCACTGTGGAAGGAGTACTCGTGAATGAGATGTTCTAGAAAATTTCAAGCTTATGGAATATCCAATAGTCTCAATAGCGAGCCAATTAGAAAGAAACTGACTACATCACTCTGTCTTCATTTCTAATTTACCCCTTTATTCTCCGCATGAACATTTAAAAACTGACTACATAACTCTGTCTCAAAGATGTGATTTCTTCAACCAGTGAATTCAATTCAGTTTCACATGACATTTCAACCGGAATAAGCCAAGTTGTTCTCTTAATATATCATCTACTTAACCAGTGCTTCAGGTCCCATAAATGGAAGCTTTTTATCCATAAATCTAATGACACTCAAAACAATGTAGAAATCACGCACCAGCTAAATGATAAGCACGATAGAGCAAAACTCAGCTTACCAGGTTTCTTAGAAGTCAAGGCAAGGCGTTTCCTCCTCACCAACGAATTGAGAAGGGATGATTTCCCAACATTGGATCTGCCGACAAGCGCAAACTCCGGCAACCCATCGGCCGGACAATCCTCCGTCTTGACACTACTCTTCACGTAGTCAGCCTGAACCACCTGTGCGTCCCTCGCGTACTTGCTGAGAACAATGTTTGAACCCTTCAGTATCCTCGCCGTTAGACTCGCCGAGTCTTCGCCAGAGATATCCGTCTCCGGTGGAATAAAAAGCTTGTCGAGCGAAATCTCGACAGGAGCATCATCCAAATCGGATGAATCCGAGACCGATAGTGGTATGGGTTCAACTGTTGCGAGATTCGATTTAGACGCGAATGAGAAAAGGGTTCGAGCTAATGTAACCGACGGCTTAGGGTTTAAGAAATTGAAATGCGAAGAAGAGAGAGCGAAAGAAGGTTTCGCGAGGATTGAGAGATGGAATCTAGGAAGCTGCGCTAAAATCATATCTGATTATTGATTTCCTTCTAATTGTTCTCTTTAGATTCTGTGAGCAGCCATGGATGTAGGAGTGAGCTTACGGATGCGGAGGAAGTCGACGAAATATCCGCAGCAAAACGCTGCGTTTTGGTGGTGGTAATCTGGACGATGAACTTTCCTTATATTACAATTTGCCCGCTACATTTCAACGATTGTATCAATTCGCCACTATATTCTAGTTAAAAAGTAAAGGGGTAAATTAGAAAGAAAACAAAAGTACAAGGAGTATATAGCAAAATCAGGTCGTTGGCATCTTCTTCCACCTCTCCAAGCACGGACGAGACTTCGACCAGTGAACCAAAATCTCTCTCAATTTTATCACCCCGTGCTTCTGATCTCGGTGGGATTCTTTCCGATCGGTAACATCTCGTGGATCATACTCCGTTGGATCTCACAGCGTAATAATTTATCGTATCTGAATCGCAATCTTATTAGCCATGGCTCCTCCGGCCGCTTCACAACGTTATCCGTCACCGTCCCAACCTTCAGGGTAATACTTATGCTCTATTCACCTGCTTCTTTCTCGATCAATAACGCTGAATTCACCTTGCTTCCTTACATTTTTAAGATAATTAGCTGCGATCAGTTTCAGAATTCGATCATCTTTTTTCATGCGTGGTCCGTCAGCTCACTAATTCTCGAATTATTTGATCTGTATTGTTCCTATACTAAATCCAGAAATTAATAAGCTCTCATGTAGCAGATCTAGTTTTAGGGCCTAGTTTTGCCAGTCTGAGCTAACTTATGTGAAAAAGCTAATGTAGAATCAGAAGAAGCCATTAGTTTGAATTTTCCCTCCTTAGATTCTGATTCCTAAATGCAGTGACTATGTTCGATAATCTGATCTCTATTTGGTTAGATGAGGAATGAATTGAAAATAGAAAAATTGTTATTTATCAGGAAAAGCGAAGTGTCAGATCTGAAAACCCAGCTTCGCCAACTAGCTGGAAGTAGAGCTCCAGGAGTTGATGATTCCAAACGTGACCTCTACAAGAAAGTAATATCGTACATGACTATTGGCATTGACGTCTCATCTGTGTTTGGAGAAATGGTCATGTGCTCTGCAACATCAGACATTGTCCTGAAGAAGATGTGTTATCTTTATGTTGGAAACTATGCAAAAGGAAACCCTGATCTTTCTCTATTGACGATTAATTTTCTGCAAAGGGATTGCAAAGATGAGGACCCTATGATCCGTGGGCTTGCTCTGAGGAGCTTGTGTTCTTTACGAGTGCCAAACCTTGTGGAGTATCTGGTTGGTCCCTTGGGGAGTGGGCTCAAGGACAATAACAGCTATGTGAGAACGATCGCTGTTACTGGAGTACTAAAGCTTTATCACATCTCAGCCTCAACATGCATTGATGCCGATTTTCCTGCAACGTTGAAAAGTTTGATGCTTCATGATTCAGATGCTCAGGTTAATTTTGTTTTGTATTTAGGATGTTTGGTTGAATGCATTTGGACATGACTCTCACTAGCATAATCACTTTTTTTTTTGTATAATTTGTGCCTTTTTGATATAAATTATATTGTCAGGTAGTTGCCAATTGCCTGTCTGCACTTCAAGAAATTTGGAGTTTAGAAGCAAGCCACTCTGAGGAAGCATGCCGGGAAAAGGAGTCCTTGCTTAGCAAGCCAGTTATATATTATTTCTTGAATCGGTATGTCCTTAAGCTCTTCCTTCAACTGTCTATCAGTATACCTTGTTGTTGTCGTGGTATCTTAGAAGGGAGAAGCAAATTTTATCATTGTGGTGTTTCATTGCAGGATCAAGGAATTCAATGAATGGGCACAGTGTCTTATACTTGAGTTGGCAGTAAAATATGTGCCGTCAGATAGTAATGATATTTTTGACATTATGAATCTGTTGGAAGACAGACTTCAGCATGCCAATGGCGCTGTTGTCTTGGCAACAGTCAAAGTGTTTTTACAGTTAACACTCTCCATGACTGATGTTCATCAACAGGTTCGAAGTCCACCTCCTTTATCTTTAATCATCGGAAATTATTTCTGATGAAATTAGTTTTGTGCGGAATTTCATGATAATCAATTTGTAAAATAGTCTCTGCATTGTCCTCATAATGAAGCATTATATTACTTTTGGTTTCATAGTCTGGAAGCTTGAAAATCAGATCTTAACAATCATAGTTATCACTGATTTGTTATCGTTTAAGATGATCACTGTCTAACTAATGCCAAATGATCTTGTATAGGTATATGAACGTATTAAATCCCCACTTCTAACTCTCGTCAGTTCTGGAAGTCCAGAGCAATCATATGCAATCCTGAGCCACCTTCACCTTTTGGTTGTTCGTGCGCCATTCATCTTTGCCGCAGACTATAAGCATTTCTACTGCCAGTACAATGAACCATCATATGTCAAAAAGTTGAAGCTTGAGATGTTGACTGCAGTTGCAAACGAGAGCAACACTTACGAAATTGGTAATGATTTCAAATTATGTTAATATGGAATCTTGAGCGTCAAAACCTTTCTTTTCCGGCTCTTTGATTGGGCTAATTCGTACTGTTTCCTTTTCAGTGACGGAACTGTGTGAGTATGCTGCAAACGTTGATATTGCAATTGCGAGGGAGTCAATTCGGGCAGTTGGGAAGATTGCTTTGCAACAGTATGATGTAAATGCGATTGTTGATAGACTTCTTCAATTCCTGGAGATGGAAAAGGACTATGTGACCGCTGAAACTTTGGTAAACTAAACTGTTCGCGGAGATAATTGACCATCACACTAATATTTATATTGTTTTACATTTTGATAACAAATCCACTTGTCTGTTTCCTCCTCTAGGTTCTTGTGAAGGACCTTCTAAGGAAGTATCCACAATGGAGCCATGATTGCATTTCTGTTGTTGGGGGTATCAGCAGCAAAAATATCCAGGAACCGAAAGCCAAGGCGGCTCTTATATGGATGTTGGGTGAGTATGCTCAGGACATGAGTGATGCTCCTTATGTTTTGGAGAATCTGATAGAAAACTGGGAGGAAGAGCATTCAGCTGAGGTAGTTTAGGCATCACTTTTTTGTTTTTCCTTGCTACTGAAATTATGGTTCCATTTATGCGTGAGAACTCATTAGTCTATGTTCCCAATTTGTGGCATTGAGCAGGTTCGGTTACATCTCTTAACTGCAGCAATGAAATGCTTTTTCAAGAGGGCACCTGAGACTCAGAAAGCCCTAGGAACAGCTCTAGCTGCAGGTATTGCTGATTTTCACCAGGTATCGTCCTATCTTCCCTTCCAAATTTCTCTTGTTTTGAAACCATTGGCCTATTGGATCACTAATTCAACATTTACTGTTGGCATAGGATGTTCATGACCGAGCCTTGTTCTACTATCGGGTTCTGCAATACGATGTACACGTGGCAGAACGTGTTGTTAGTCCGCCAAAACAGGCGGTTTCAGTCTTTGCTGACACTCAAAGCAGTGAAATCAAAGACCGTATATTTGACGAGTTTAACAGCCTTTCTGTGATATACCAGAAGGTATTTTTCCTGACTTAACTACCTAAACCAAAGTAGTAGTATGCATTCATTACCCAATATTACTCAGAGGTGTTCCTTATTTGCTTTCATAATAAAATGACTTTTTGCAGCCATCTTACATGTTCACGGATAAGGAACACCGAGGACCCTTTGAGTTTTCAGACGAACTTGGAAATATTTCCATCACACCTGAAGCCTCCAGCGACATTGTTCCAGCTCAGCAATTTGAGGCAAATGACAAGGACCTGCTTTTAGGTATTGACGAGAAGGATGACAATAAAGGACTTTCCAATAACAATGGTTCCGCTTACACGGCTCCTTCATTAGAAAGCTCCTCTAGTATAAGCTCACAAATGCAAGAGCTTGCAATCTCCGGCCCCGCCACATCCGCAACTACCCCACAATCAAGCTTTGGGTTTGATGATCTATTTGGTTTGGGTTTATCTCCAGCTCCTGCTCCAACACCATCACCTCCTCTTTTGAAACTTAACCCAAGAGCTGCTCTAGATCCAGGTGCCTTCCAACAAAAATGGCGCCAATTGCCAATATCATTAACACAGGTTTTTTCCCACAACTTTTAACTTGCGATGCTACTTTTTCAGCTTCCAAGTACATTCTAGCCATATGAAAGACGACAGTTAACTGGCTTTTCTTCCTCTTTTGTCAATATGCTTAACTTAGCACGAGCGTTTTTAACATTAATTCATGAACATGTTCCTTACATTTCTTACACTGTTAAGTGCATATGGAATCGTAATTGTTTCCCTGTTTCTTAATTCATGAAAGATTTCATAAATTCTCGGGGATTTTGAGTGTTGCGAGAGTGTAACTTTCTTAACTTCGTGTACAGGAGTGTTCTGTGAATCCCCAGGGAATTGCGGCCTTAACAGTTCCACAGTCACTTATCAGACACATGCAGAGCCATTCCATTCACTGTATTGCATCGGGCGGTCAATCTCCAAACTTCAAGTTCTTCTTTTTCGCTCAAAAGGAATCAGAACCATCGAACTATCTCGCTGAGTGCATCATAAACACTTCATCCGCCAAAGCTCAGATAAAAGTGAAAGCAGACGAGCAGAGTACGTCGCAGGCGTTCACAACCGTATTTGAAACAGCCTTGTCCAAATTTGGTCTGCCTTGAAAAGCAGTCAATAAAATGAAATCTCCATGTATCAATAGAATTCTGTGGATGGATCTCTACACTTGTTGTAAAATGCGATGATACTTTTTGAGTTTTGTAGTCTCTCTCACCTTTGATTTCGTTTCTTTGTGTTACAAATATACTTTATTGAGATGTTATGAAAATGTACTTTTTATCCTTAGCTTTGGAACTTTCAAATGAAACTATATGAACACAACTTCAATACATGTTCTCTTTGAAATGTAATCTCGGATCATCATAAGGGTCGACTTCTGGATATTGCAAGATCAATCTATGAAGTTGTGCAGTTTTTCATGGTCACCATCATAAAATTTTGAATCTATAGGAAGTAAATGAAATAAAAAGTTGTAGGCCTCAAAAGTTA